GACTTTTTGTGATTATTTATTGTTGTTTTAGCCGATCTGGTGATATAAGATTTCACACGGCTTCTAATAAATAAAAAAATTATCACACAATTGTAAGAATATTTCATTTACCGAGCCTCTAACGAGTTTCATCAAGCTCAATGGAAATACTGTATGTCCACGAGTTTACACACTAACAACAAGACAATCATAACATACAGATAAAAACGGGCGTGAAATGGTGGTATAAATACAGATAGATCCCTGACTTTCTAATGTTAATTTGATGGAAGGACATATTGTATAGTGATCCATGTACAGTTGTTATTTTAGCTCACCTGACCGAATTACCAAAATATATACTAATATTCGGTCTGTAGCATGCTGGGATGAAGGGTTACCACTTAAAAATGAATTACTTGTCTTGTAACCCTAGTTCAAGGTCAAAGATGCAAAATATGTGTTCAAACCTTCCAACGACATCTCATTAAAGGACCAAATGACCTAGGGTGCTGATGTTGGCCCTGCAGCATGTAGGGATGAAGGGATACCAGGTTTGTTCAAATAAATAACCTTTACACGATTTCAAGGTCACAATGACTAAATACTTTCATAATGTTTATCGCTGAAATGAAATTGTACAAAATATTTTGAGAAAAAACTCTTAAATCGTCAATCTTGGTTTATTATTACTTTTTAGACGTATTTTATTACAAAGCCGATAATAATGAGATGAACAATGCCTGCTTTGCTTCAGAAGCAGTTTTTAATTCTTTGTCGATGATTTATGTCACATTTTCTAGATAATTAATAATTGTTTCTGACGAATAAAAGCAGGCATTATTATCCTTCTGAAAGAATCGGTTTCGTTTGCAAAATTTATTTTATTGAAAGGTATATGTTCAGTATGTGTATTTTACGGAGCCCGTTAACTGACATGATCCATACTTATTTTATTTCGTTTTTTCGAAATATCATTTCGAAATAAAAGAATTATTATTTCGTTTTTTCGAAATAATATTTCGAAAAAACGAAAAATTATTTCGAAAAAACGAAATAAAATATTATTTCGATAAAAAACGAAATAATATTTCGAAAAAACGAATTAATATTTCGAAAAAACGAAATAATATTTCGTTTAAACGAATTATTATTTCGAAAAAACGAAATAATATTTCGAAAAAACGAAATAAAATAAGTATGGAGCATGTCAGGGGCTCCGTAGTATTTCGATTAAATTTATTTATTTTTTATTAATTGAGTTTTTATAAGTATACTGTACACAGCTGTGTATGGTAATTTATGTATCAGAGGAAATGGCTACACTCTCAGATACAAGTTTTCATTTCCTTCACTTTACACCAAAACAGTGGTTGGGAGCCAGCTTTGTAAATTAACAGCATATGATTAGATAAAATAAGTTGTATCAGTCCAAGAAACTGAAAACAAATATTACCAGCATAGATCAAACAGATATGTGAAATTATTGTTTTAAAGTGGCATTTGTCAAAATATATGGAACACTTTCTTGTATAATACAGATGGTTTTGTGAATAATGTATTAAAATTCGGTGTGTCCATATAGTTGTTTCAGCTCGACCTCGAATCAGCTGAAAATTTTGGTGTGAGACGGCTAATCAGTGTCTGATCCTGATAAATAAGGGTATAACTGAAGGTAGGATATTGGTGCAAATATTAAGTTTGCAGTCAATTATTGATGTAATTAATATAAATCAAATTGTAATATCACCATGATATAATTTTGGTTTAAGAATATTTTGCTACAAACAGAAAGCTGACAAAAATACAAAATAAATCATAACCCCTGGTTGGAATAGTTATTGTAGAGATATAACTTAAAAGTAAAATTGAATTGATTATTAATCAATTTATTGATTGATTGATATATATTTCAATCATGTGATATGTAAGACATAGTAAGGATAATGCGTTAATTCCTATCAAACCATTTACTACAAGTTAGAATATTAAATGTGATAAATAATTATAAAGTTTATTTAATAAGTTTTGTCTTGATAATATTCGCAAAAATTTAATATGAATAAAAAGGTTATTAGAACCTCCATTTTCTTTGTACCGATATTAACATATGTAGAAACAGATGATTATTGCCAAATTCTTCAAAGTTCCAACTGTATGTTTACTTTCCAACCCGAGACGTCATCTACGTCCCTTGGTCCAACCAGCCTCTAACATCTATCTACAGTAGTGACCAGTGTACACACTATGTACAGTAGTGACCAGTGTAAACACTATCTACGGTAGTGACCAGTGTACACACTATCTACAGTAGTGACCAGTGTACACACTATCTACAGTAGTGACCAGTGTACACACTATATACAGTATTGACCAGTGTACACACTATCTACTGTAATAACCAGTATAAACACTATATACTCTGTCGTAGTCTATCAACAGTAGTGACCAGTGTACACACTATCTACAGTAGTGACCAGTGTACACAATATATACTCTGTCCTAGTCTATCTAAAGTAGTGACTAGTGTACAAACTATCTACAGTAGTGACCAGTGTACACACTATATACTCTGTCCTATTCTATCTACAGTAGTGACCAGTGTACACACTATCTACAGTAGTGACCAGTATACACACTATATACTCTGTCCTATTCTATCTACAGTAGTGACCAGTGTACACACTATCTACAGTAGTGACCAGTGTACACACTATCTACAGTAGTGACCAGTGTACACACTATGTACAGTAGTGACCAGTGTACACACTATCTACAGTAGTGACCAGTGTACACACTATCTACAGTAGTGACCAGTGTACACACTATATACTCTGTCCTATTCTATCTACAGTAGTGACCAGTGTACACACTATGTACAGTAGTGACCAGTGTACACACTATATACAGTAGTGACCAGTGTACACACTATCTATAGTAGTGACCAGTGTAAACACTATCTACAGTAGTGACCAGTGTACACACAATCTACTCTGTCCTATTCTATCTACAGTAGTGACCAGTGTACACACTATATACTCTGTCCTATTCTATCTACAGTAGTGACCAGTGTACACACTATGTACAGTAGTGACCAGTGTACACACTATCTACAGAAGTGACCAGTGTACACACTATATAGAGTAGGGACCAGTGTACACACTATCTAGAGTAGTGAGCAGTGTACACACTATATACTCTGTCCTTTGTCTATCTACAGTAGTGACCAGTGTACACACTATCTACTCTGTCCTAGTCTATCTATAGTAGTGACCAGTGTACACACTATATACTCTGTCCTATTCTATCTACAGTAGTGACCAGTGTACACACTACAGTAGTGACCAGTGTACACACAATCTACTCTGTCCTATTCTATCTACAGTAGTTACCAGTGTACACACTATCTACAGTAGTGACCAATGTACACACTATATACAGTAGTGACCAGTGTACACACTATCTACAGTAGTGACCAATGTACACACTATATACAGTAGTGACCAGTGTACACACTATATACAGTAGTGACCTGAGTACACAATATCTACAGTAGTGACCAGTGTACACACTATCTACAGTAGTGACCAGTGTACACACTATCTACAGTAGTGACCAGTGTACACACTATATACAGTAGTGACCAGTGTACACACTATCTACAGTAGTGACCAGTGTACACACTATATACAGTAGTGACCAGTGTACACACTATATACTCTGTCCTATTCTATCTACAGTAGTGACCAGTGTACACACTATCTATAGTAGTGACCAGTGTACACACTATCTATAGTAGTGACCAGTGTACACACTATATACTCTGTCCTATTCTATCTACAGTAGTGACCAGTGTACACACTATCTATAGTAGTGACCAGTGTACACACTATCTACAGTAGTGACCAGTGTACACACTATATACAGTAGTGACCAGTGTACACACTATATACAGTAGTGACCTGAGTACACACTATCTACAGTAGTGACAAGTGTACACACTACCTACAGTAGTGACCAGTATACACACTATATACTCTGTCCTAGTCTATCTATGGTAGTGACCAGTGTACACACTATCTACAGTAGTGACCAGTATACAGACTATATACTCTGTCCTAGTCTATCTACAGTAGTGAGCAGTGTACACACTATCTACAGTAGTGAGCAGTATACATACTATATACTCTGTCCTAGTCTATCTATGGTAGTGACCAGTGTACACACTATCTACAGTAGTGACCAGTATACAGACTATATACTCTGTCCTAATCTATCTACAGTAGTGACCAGTGTACACACTATCTACAGTAGTGACCAGTATACACACTATCTACAGTAGTGACCAATGTACACACTATATACAGTAGTGACCAGAGTACACACTATCTATAGTAGTGACCAGTGTACACACTATCTACAGTAGTTACCAGTGTACACACTATCTACAGTAGTGACCAGTGTACACAATATCTACAGTAGTGACCAGTGTACACACTATCTACAGTAGTGACCAGTGGACACACTATATACTCTGTCCTAGTCTATCTACAGTAGTGACCAATGTACACACTATCTACAGTAGTGACCAGTGTACACACTTTCTACAGTTGTGACCAGTGTACACACTATATACAGTAGTGACCAGTGTACACACTATCTACAGTAGTGACCAGTGTACACACTATCTACAGTAGTGACCAGTGTACACAATATCTACAGTAGTGACCAGTGTACACACTATATACTCTGTCCTATTCTATCTGCAGTAGTGACCGGTGTACACACTATCTACAGTAATGACCAGTGTACACACTATATACAGTAGTGACCAATGTACACACTATCTACAGTAGTGACCAGTGTACACACTATCTACAGTAGTGACCAGTGTAAACACTATCTACAGTAGTGACCAGTGTACACACTATATACTCTGTCCTAGTCTATCTATAGTAGTGACCAGTGTACACACTATCTACTCTGTCCTAGTCTATCTACAGTAGTGACCAGTGTACACACTATATACTCCTTCCTAGTCTATCTATGGTAGTGACCACATTGTCCATATCTTCCCTTGTTATATCGAGGTTAGAGAGAACCACGCGGAAGAAGTTGACATTGTTATCTTTGGGCTGGTATCCAATCATCATCGACCCCTCCGACATCATCTGTTTTTTGATTGCTGGTGCCACCTACAACAGTAGTGATTCAATGGTATTTCGCCATACTTCGCCGATATCTCATAATCATTTGACTAAATAAATAACAACCGTTTAGAAGTTTATGATGCTGACTAATCAGATGAACATTTAGTTACAGACTATACCACAAAATAAACAAGAAGGGAAAACAACAAGAAAATACCAAAAAGGTCAACATAATCATAATTCAAACTCAAATTAATTAAAACTAGGGCAAACTTAGGGTAAACACACACACAGCTCATCTTGGATTAAAATATCTGTTAGTAGCTGGTCAATTGCAATTAAATGAAATATAAAAAAGTTCATTTTAACATTTTACTACGATTCAATAAAACTCTAAAAGGTAAATAGCAAATGAAAAGGTAATACATACATCTACCGTTCTTTTCACTCGCAAATTAAAAACGAACCTTTCTAGTCCTTGTGTATTACTTTTTTTATAATACGTAGTCTTTGATCAAGCGAAGACCGGAAATACAGAGTTAAAAAATCCAACTTGCATATTCAAATAACTCATTTAAATATGTTGTACAATTTGGACATAGACAAGTTTTAAATTTCCTCTCTCGGGATGGACTCTAGCCCTCCATCCTCCTTAAGTATTTTTCTCATATTGGTCTCATGAAATCGTCTATGTGGGTGTAGCGTCATTAGCATACACGGTGCTGATTCACTTAAAATTCAATGCAACCTATTAAAGCAACCTATCGAACGGTATTCACATTTAAAATAACCAGCTACGAAGCAATATTTTCGCAAAAAATTCGAAGGAAAAATAAAGCTGAAATATGGGGATATCTTGAAGCTAATGGGTTCTGGTGTAGTGAATCTGTTTTACATACGTTCAATATACGTTACTTCTCATGATACACAATTATATCATCTAAACATAGTTAAAACAATTACTTGAAAGAGTGTGGAAACCGAATTTGATTGTCACAATTTACATAATGTAATACCCGACATTACTTTGCTGTCTGATTCCGTTAGTATTCTTAAAGTGGCGTATTTTGAAATTAATGGTATGAAACACCGCGTCTAAGATTTTTCCTGTTGTATATATAGAATACAAAAGCAGGATTTCAACACGTCTTCAAAACGAAGCCAAGTGTGATTTTCATGGCAAGCCTGGGTTGTCACATAAACAAAGCACTCAAACGTATTGTTCTCTTTGTCCCTATATTCCTAATCGCCGTTAAAAAGTCGAACGTGATAAGTCCGTTACGGTCTGCTGAATTTCGATACACTTTTGAGGTTTTTGTGTAGTTTGTAAAGCTTTGTTTTAGTCAGTGGTATTTATCATTTATCTCCGTTCCTTTCTGTGCATGATGTTAATCTATATGCGTGGTTCCAACAGGCTTTTTTAATCCGTTTATTGCATTTTTAATTATCTAGCGTAAATTGCATCTGGTTGACATGTGGTATGATCTAGGGACACTAAGTATGGGTGTCATTCACTTTAGTTTAAGAAGACATATTTAATATAACTTCGAAAACTTGATGACATCACGACATTATTTGTTCTCCTAATACTGAGAACATTCTCTTTTTTGTATTTGTATTTGGAAAAACTCGAATATTTCCAGAATACCAAACCCTGTAACCCACGCCAATCCCCCCCCCCACACACACACACGTATACACACAGGACCATCATCCACCAACGCACATCTAGCCCCCCTCCACACACACACACACATATGCACACACAGCACCATCACACACCAACGACCCCCACCCCCCCACACACACATACACACACACACACACACACACACACACACACACACACACACACACACACACACACACACACACACACACACACACACACACACACACACACACACATACATACACACGGATATACACAGTTATTGACATCGTTATTGGAGCAAGATTAATTCTTTTTAATTCCACACCCATGCTACCCACACAGATATATTTGTATACAGAAACAATTAAATCAGGATTTGGAAAATATCTTCTAGGAGAGATGTGGAAATTAACAGAAACGTTATTAGATACATATTTGGCAAGCTGCCAGTCTTTAGTTTTTTGCTTAATTTTATGCTTTTCTATTTTATATTATTTGTTCTGTAAAAAATGCGATAATTACCTTTGATAAACGCGTTTTCCAGCCTTCATCTTCCTTTTCATTGCGCATGCTCGGTGGAATATACCAAAAACAAATATTGGTAAACTCAGGCTAAAAGATAAGTGAAAATTGCTGATGATATTGGAAATTCTTTTATTATAGAAGTGTTGAATATATATTATCCTTTTATTAAACAACTTTCCTATGGTTTTTGTTACTTTCGGTCTCTGCCTATCAACAACTTCGACTAGTATTGTTAATCATTCCGATGTTAGATAGTTACTGCTTTATCACTGGGATATTTCACGCATTATTTGATATTTAATGCTGTACATTATTACTATATTGGCTGGCGTAGGAAGTGACTGATACCGTACCTGGAGAAGCAGACGGAAGCCCTCTGTATCGGCCATTCTATTGGCGAGATACCTGAAACATAGCAACGGTATCAGTGATAGGTCCTATTTCTTTCATTTATATCAAGAAATATTGGTATTTGAGAAAATAGAATTCAATACATTAACTGAATGATATTTTAAAATTTCGACAGTATGACTAAGTTGGACAAAATGTTGAAGATTTAACCGAAACGTGATTTGCAAACATAAAAAGCCTGATTTCTTTGTCCACCAATCAGCTTCCACAAAGTCCTTTTGTGTAACACAGCTTACATAATACAAGACTTGTAAGAAGAAGCTCGTGTCTTTCAATAACAATTCATTATTAATTAGAATGGAACTGCATCCTTCAGCTGTTTTGTCCTTCAAGGATCAGTCAGTGGTCCTAAGGACCTTATGATTTTAAGATGACATCAGTGCATAATTCTGGACAGCACAATTCATACAGGTCATACAGGTTTTGGAAAACCAAAGGGACTAAAGCCGACCGGAAGAGACGACTACCTGCAGTTTCACAGGATAAAACACAAATGAACGTCATCTTGCAGTAAGTCAATGGGCTCTTTATGTTAAAAAATCAATTCTAAACTTCTACGATTAAAATAGCTTCGGTGATTACTTCTTGAGTGCCGACTATAAAAGCACCAATATGATTGAGGGACACCCATTAAATGAAATCACGAGCAGAGTTCTTGTAATCGAAAGTCTTACAAGTGAAATGGTAAGTTAAAAGTAACTGGGAATTACTGATATCAATGCATTGTATAAACTACAGTGGCATTTTCATATAAAAGACTGTATGTCATTGCTATTAATGTGAGTTACATCGGAATATTTGTTTGTATTTCTTCTTAGACACAATTTCAAATCACCACATATCCCCGAATATTTTTACAAAAAATTTTGACTTCTGTGGAAATGCTTGTTATACATTAAGAGACTTCTACCCGTGTAATTTAAAAAAAAAACATACATGCATTTCATTCCGCTTTCCAGGTAATAACGATGTGCAACAACAGGAAAGTACCAACATACCACCCTAATCAAAAGCCAAGCTCAAAGTCAATACAACTAGGGCAAAAATATGACAAATGGAATGATAAAACTTTTACGTAATAAACGATGTTTTATACAAACTTTGCACAATCTAGGGCGTTGTCTACGGCCTTTTCCAGCTGTTTATCTCCCTTAGATTTCCACATGACCCAGAGTTTGAGAACATCCACTTTACGGCCACATTGGACAGATTTGTCCCCTGTGTCAAATGTCACGTCGTAACACTTGTCAGGTTGGAACAGATATTCTGCTCCAGTAGAATGACTCTTCGTCAGCATATCCTGTTGTAAAAAGGTGATAGCCTACAGCAAACGCTTATTCTTTCTCTTTGAAACGACTCCTGTTTTTTTTTTGTATAATGTTTTTAAACGCAAGTGATCGCATGCACTAGATTTGGAGATTAACTTTAAAACTTCAGTTAAAAGCGACTGTATTGAGTGTGATTTCAACTTGTTTGTAAATACATCAATATGTTGCGATATTGAACAAATTTAGAATAAATGAAAATATATATGTAGAAGTATCATGAAACTGAAAGATAGAAGTAGACAAAAACAGGAAAGAAAATATTGACAGGTTAGCAGAAGCATAATCCAAACACAAATTCGATAACACTAGGTCAAAATATAAAAATGGTAACAGGACACTACTGAATAAGTACAAGGAGAATAAGGCCAGACGTTTCAGAAGGGTTTGCGTCTTCTGCTTCATCGATGACACCTTGGTCATGTAAAGTAAGTAATGCCATGTTCCCAAATGAGAGCAAGGTAACTGACAACGGAATGATCAATAATACTTAGGAGCATGAAAAACGTACAGTTCCATATCGCACAAAGATCATAATATGACGACCGTAAAACTAGTCTGTGATCTTAATCTTGGAAGAAAATGGTGACGGTGGGAACGAACTCTAGAATATCGAATCAACTCCCACACGTAAACACGTTGACAATCGATTTAGTATTCGTTGTATATATAAAATCAATAAATGGTACGAAATCAATCAATAGTCCACCATTGTTTTATGTTGGCCTAAATCGGACACAATTTTGACGTCCAAAAATCAAAATACTCCAAGCACAACCATTAAGACATAGTGGTGTTGACTTAATGACCCAAGCAGTGATATTCCCATTTATCTTTATTGATATAGAGGTTCTACAACTAGTGGCAGTTGATTATCATCGTTATCTAACTCGAGTTAGTTAATTTTCAAATTTAGAAAAGACACGAGGCTTTGTCGAGTGTCTTTTCTAAATTTGAAAATTAACTAACGAGAGTTTGATAACGATGATAATCAACTGTCACGAGTTGTAGAACTTCTTTCTACCATAACCTTTTAACGTAAAAATATATGTATTATGTAAAACATTGTTTCGCCCCCATTGATAATTTCGCAGAAGAATACATCGTATGTTGTCTGATTGGCTCATTAATATGCAAAAAGAGACAAAATCGCTATTTTTGATGCAAAAGACTTATTTATTCAGTAATATTGTTTGGAAACATGCCGTAACATTAGTTCATTGAAACACGTTACAAAATTACACAAATTGTTTATCTTTCAAAAAAAAAAAAAAAAAATTTGGAACTAGATTTTATTGCGTATAAGACTAGTGCTTCTTCGCGGGAAAATGTGAATGCAGACACGATTAAGATGGCGTGTAATTTCGAGAACTTCTGATCACTTTCATCAGAACTGTACATCACAATATCAAAGGTTGGGAAACCAAAATTACTGCATTTACCAATTACTATCCCCTTTCCCCCTCCACACAGTTTTGCAGCATCACCGATTTTGACCGCTGGCAAGAATAACTGATCGTCACTGTCAGCCATGTTGATGATGGACAGCAGACGATGAAAACAATCGCACGTGGCGAAAGTAGTTCGGGGTCACAGATCATTGTGGGGTCAAATGTCAATGCCTCGTCCAACAGATTTGGCTGTCACCAATAATACACGTGTGTATTATGCGTATGAATAAACAATGGATATGGTGTTTAATGAATAGTCTGGGCGTGAGATAACATACGCAGGTTATGGTAGAAAAAACTGTTAATGCTAGTTTTGTATCATTACAGATGCAACTCGGGAAGGATGACAAAACTGTGATTTACCTTGTGTCTTGTTAGGAACACTGAACACTGGTTGAGGGCACCCATCATTTTGTGAGGGTTCCATGTTAGAGAGTCGGCTCTGAAAAAGTAATAAGGAAGAGAAAACAAAAAACCAATTTCAGTATAACTTGTGTACCTGATAAACTATAAACAGTACTTCGATCATGTCTGTGTACCAATCACTGCTTTATCTTTATTTGTTCTTTGAAATGACGGAAGAACGGACAGCGGATGTCGGATGATTTGAATAGTTCACATCTGATGCTGGCAACACCTCTTGTAGATAAAGGAACTAAAACGAGTAGAACTTTAAGGTGAAAAAACCAGTAATGATTTTTAAGTGTACGACAAAGTCAATTGTAAAACCAGTAATGATTTTCTAAGCGTACTACATCGTCAGTTGGTTCTCTTTCATCTCTTGTTGATTTACCTTTCGATGCCAGACATCAGTTCCCGATGTTTCTTTGATAATAGAACTGCACCACCCCAAGCTGAATCAACGTGCATCCAAAGTTTGTGCTCATCACAGATATCAGCTATTTCGCATAGGGGATCAAACGCACCGAGGACGGTCGTACCGGAAGTGGCGACGACGCACACTGGTTCTTCTCCCTACGCAACAGTAGAACAGTTCGATCAAAAGATGTCAAGATTTCTATTTTAGATAGCTATGATCCAATAGTGGTTATTTGTGTAGAGTCGTTCCTGGATACCAGTACTATTATATTTTAATTGTTAGAATCAAAGACTGCCAGTTCACTCCAGATCTATAATAAAATATGGTGTAAAAAATTACCTTGGACTTAATCATTTGTATATTCTTCTCCAGTTCTGACGTCAACATTCTACCTCTTACGTCACATTTCACAGGTACAACACTCTTTGTACCGAAGCCTAAAAATGCCGCGCCCTTCTTTATGCTGAAGTGAGCCTGAAGAGAATCACCAACACGTCAGGGGAGCAATTATTCTAAGTAACCCATACAAAAACATGGTTACAATTATACATGGGAGACAACTGCTGTCAACTGAGTTATCAAACATCCATCTTCCTATTATATATTGCAGGAGTTGCAGTAAAAGCACTTTCCCCGCGAAGTTTTTATTTTCATTAAATTCGTGGTTACTCTAAACAGTGAAGTCCATGTCCACGAAATGATAAAAGCTGGCTTTGATTATAGTACTAGTGAATGTTTACGAAGATTTATCCATGAAATCAAGTGCCGACGAAAATACATAGTTTTATTTAACCACGAAAATTGAGCCTCGTTAAAGCATGGAATTTTACAGTACGTACATGATTACATAATCATACTAAGGCAATCAACACTGAAATACTAGTTATTTCAAATTTTACAATATATGATTACTTGCATCTCTCAGTAATCTAAGTCGATTGAGTCTCTTGGATCCATTACCTTTCAGTTGTAATATAGCTGCTTTAGCGTCTGATAGTATATTCTATAAACGTTCTTTATATAAAGGGCATTTTTAAAACATTTGTGATATTTGGCTTAGATTATACCTGTTCTGATGCGAGAATGCGCAAAGGCGGAAGTGATGTCATACCGTCCATTTTGAATTCTGGGAATCGTTTACACCTAGCTAGGTTCAAACCATACATGTTAGAAATTGATCCTCCTACAATGAAGAAAGTCATTGAGAAATTAGTATTTCTTAAAATGTAATGTACTTCAAAGAAGCAGCGGACAGTGTGTTCGGATCTATTGTACGAATAATTTGCCTACAAAAATGCATGACCATTTAATCCAATATTTCACATCATTTTCTCACATTTTATCTGTTATGGGGATTAATGACAGAGGGTGTCCTCTCGAAATCGGGCGATGTTTGAAGAAAAATATCAAACGGAACGATGGTGATAAATCAACAACTGAATGGATTAATTCATGAATACATGCCTAACCACGTTTGAAACGAACGTGACATTTGTTTTATGCACTTACGTTAAACAAAAATTCACATAAAAGCTAGAGATTTCGTTCTTATTGAACCAGTAAATACATCCGCAGTATTATCACCTGGACAGAAGATACCGTCGCCCGAGGAAAGTCCAGCCAGTCCCAGCATTTTGTTGACCACATATTTCTCCATAAGAGTAAATACCGGAGCAACTTCATAAGTAAACCTAGCAACAACAGAAATATTAGTAAACCCCGCAACAACAGAAATATAAGTAAATTTAGCAACAACAGAAATATAAGTAAACCCAGCAACTACAGAAATATTAGTGAACCTAACAACACCAGAAATATTAGTGAACCTAACAACACCAGAAATATTAGTGAACCTAGCAACAACAGAAATATTAGTAAACCCCGCAACAACAGAAATATAAGTAAATTTAGCAACAACAGAAATATAAGTAAACTCAGCAACTACAGAAATATCAGTGAACCTAGCAACAACAGTAATATTAGTAAACCTGGCAACATCAGAAACATTGGTAAACCTGACAACAACAGAAATATTAGTAAACCTGGCAACATCAGAAACATTAGTAAACCTGACAACAACAGAAATATTAGTAAACCTGGCAACAACAGAAATATAAGTAAACCCAGCAACTACAAAATATTAGTATCCTAGGAACACGAAAAATATTAGAAAACGTAGCAACACCAGAAATATTAGTAAACCTAGCAACAACAGAAATATTAGTAAACCTAGCAACAACAGAAATATAAGTAAACCCAGCAACTACAAAATATTAGGTATCCTAGGAACACGAAAAATATTAGAAAACGTAGCAACACCAGAAATATTAGTAAACCTAGCAACAACAGAAATATTAGTAAACCTAGCAACAACAGAAATATTAGTAAACTTAGCAACTACAGAAATATTAGTGAACCTAGCAACAACAGTAATATTAGTAAACCTGGCAACATCAGAAACATTGGTAAACCTGACAACAACAGAAATATTAGTAAACCTGGCAACATCAGAAACATTGGTAAACCTGACAACAACAGAAATATTAGTAAACCTGGCAACATCAGAAACATTGGTAAACCTGACAACAACAGAAATATTAGTAAACCTAGCAACAACAGAAATATAAGTAAACCCCGCAACAACAGAAATATTAGTAAACCGAGCAACAACAGAAATATTAGTGAACCTAGCAACAACAGAAATATAAGTAAATCTAGCAACATCAGAGATATTAGCAAACCTAGCAAAAACAGAAATAGTAGTTATCCTAGGAACACGAAAAATATTGGAAAACGTAGCAACACCAGAAATATTAGTAAACCTAGCAACAACAGAAATATTAGTAAACCTAGCAACAACAGAAATATAAATAAACCTAGCAACAACAGAAATATAAGTAAACCCCGCAACACCAGAAATATTAGTAAATCTAGCAACAACAGAAATATTAGTAAACCTAGCAACAACAGAAATATTAGTAAACCTAGCAACAACAGAAATATTAGGTATCCTAGGAATCCGAAAAATATTAGAAAACGTAGTAACAACAAAAATATTAATAAACCTAGCAACACCAGAAATATTAATAAACTGAGCAACAACAGAAATATTAGCAAATCTAGCAACATCACATATATTAGTAAACCTAGCAACATCAGAAATATTAGTAAACCTAGCAACAACAGAAATATAAGTAAACCCCGCAACAACAGAAATATTAGTAAACCGAGCAACAACAGAAATATTAATGAACCTAGCAACAACAGAAATATTAGCAAACCTAGCAACAACAGAAATATTAGTAAACCTAGCAAAAACAGAAATAGTAGTTATCCTAGGAACACGAAAAATATTAGAAAACGTAGCAACAACAGAAATATTAGTAAACCCTGCAACAACAGAAATATTAATAAACCTACCAACAACAGAAATATTAGTAAGCCTAGCAACAACAGAAATATTAGTAAACCTAGCAACAACAGAAATTTTAGTAAACCTAGCAACAACAGAAATATAAGCAAACCTAGCAACAACAGAAATATTAAAGAATGTAGCACCATATCTGAAATGATGTTGTTAAGTTGCATTAATGAATAATCTGTGTAAAATGTGGAACTTTGTTTAACATAATCATTTTGACAGCAAGATTGCAAAACAAAGCAACGATAGTGGGATGTAAGCAGCGATGATACGGTTAATATATCATTAAAATACCTTGTCTCCGTCATGTTTGCCAATGCCAACACAAACTACGTTGAACTGATACCAACAGATATAGATATTCATGTCAGAAAGGTGGATACAAACGTGTCTCTGTTAAAGTCGCTGTTTGTTTACCGTGTATCACGCAGGCGCAAACCTGTTGTTACGTCAACAGGTCAGCGTGAACATTTGTAAACAGATCGAGCCAGACCTTAAATACATATTGAAAGTCTTGCGATTTCCATAAGAAGTAGGTGCTTTTGCACTTTTTTCTTAAAAGGCATCTTATGAAATCCTAACTTGGTCGGAATATACCTTAAAAGTATATGAAAGAAAAACTTTGCCAGCGCAAAGTATTATTTTTAAAACACAAGTAAGACAGGATTGATGATTCATTTGTAAAATGTCATGAGGATGTCCTAATTAGCCATGCATCGGAGAGCCACGCCCCTCTTAATGTAACATACTGGACCGTCACAATTCACATGTTTGTATTCAGAGCGTCAGAGAGCCACGCCTCTAGTTAGGTAACACACTAAAACGTCATAACTTACATGCTTGTATTTAGCGCGTCGGAGAGTCACGCCCCTCTTAAGGTAACACACTGGACCGTTAGAACTTACATGCTTGTATTCAGAGCGTCAGTGAGCCACGCCCCTCCTAAGGTATATTGATCCATCCCACCATACAGTTGGTTGAAGAACAAAGGATGGCCTATCGAGATTAGAACATCAATTACTAGCTAATCTGAAAGCGTCCTGTAATACATCGATGTAAATAATTAAAAACACCGTTTGCAAACGCCATTTTATAAACGACAAGGTAAGATATAACTTCTGGTAGATTGGGTGATGTCAGTAAAATATCTACTTTACAAAAATAGCGGAGATTTCTGATCATACCTGTCTTCACGCTGTATTTGATAACATCCTGACAGATCTCTAGAAGCTTTATGTCTTCCGTTGGCTCATCCAATGCTAAATCCATAACATCTTCCAGATCTGCTGGGAGCTTAAACTCAATTACTTTTAAGCTTCTGTCATTTGACCTTGCAATAACATTGTTGAATATGTCTTCTACCAACCTTCTGAGAAAGCCGGAACGTTTTGTTGTTCGATCTGTACCAATGTCAGAACAGGGAGGTATATTTATATTTATATTGTCAACAAAACAAGTAACGCACAAAGTATTACATCAAGAATGGTCTCCCAACAATCTACATTAAAATCGGCCAAACGTGACGACGTCATTGTCTGACTTTGTGAGCTTTAGTCCAAATTAAGCGGCGTGACCAATTCAAGCCGGATTTTTTCAAACGAATAATTTCAACGGATACTCAAATTTCAGCCAAATTAATTTACGGGATTAGTTTCAGATCGTCCCAGGAGCGGTCCTCCGCGTGTAACAACCGCACGACCATACAGGGCGATTCTGGTACTCTTGGCAGATCTATTAGTGCTCAAACTGTCAGGAACCTCTTGCGTGCCGAGGGAATCATTGCGCGCCGACCTTATGTCGGGCTACCTTTGACACCGCGGAGGTGGCAAGTACGTCTTGAATTGCGCAGATATGGTTGAGGCGTGTGATGTCACTCAGACGGAAGAAAAAGGGTATATCGCAGACGCGGTGGGCGTTTCGACGACGCATGCGCGGTTGAACGCGATAGATTCGGTGGGGCTTCTTTAATGGTTTGTGGAGGTATCGCCCATGAAGTGAAATCTCCCTTAGTGGTCCTGGATCCAAACCTCAATGCCGTTTGATACAGAGACCAGATTCCCCAGCCTCACGTCCCTCCACTTCTCAGACGTCATAATCTAGTCTTTCAGGAAGACAATGCTCGACCGCATGTTGACAGAGTCAATTGTGATTTTCCTCACGGCAAACAACATTCAGCATCTGGAATGGCCACTATAAAGCCCCGACATGTCTCCCATCGAGCATTTACGTGATGAGCTGAGCAGGCGTTTTAGGAAACGCTGAAACCCCCAACTAGCTGCGCCCAATTGATCGCAGCATCAACACAAGAGAATGGAACAATATTCCCTTTAGGCGAAATAATGTTCTCATTGATTAAATGCATATGAGAATCCGTGCAGGGATTCGTGCAAGAGGTGCCCGAACCAGGTACTGAAGTGTCATTTTGTTTTTCGCGTGTATCCCACTTTGAGTTAGTACTGACGACACGAGTGACGTCATCCAGATTTTTCTTCTATAGTATTGTTTAGCAGACTTGTTCCTTCACATTAATATAATTGGCTATATATTACTTAATTTAACTGTGCGGTATTTTTGTTAGGTATACATTGATTAAGAATACGCTTGGTTTCAATTCTGTCCATATATATGGCTTAATAAAACTTAACCAAAAAGGGCATCTAAAGGTCCGGAGGTCTATCTGATTGTGTGTTAATTACTTGTTTGCCAAAAAAAGCACCATCTGTGAAAGGATTATGTGAATTCGGCCACACGTTTTCTGGTTGCATGACGAAAAGGATTATCAAGAAATGACCGCACGGCGTCATAAAAAGGACAGTCAGGGATATTTTCATTATACTGTATACACCGGTGAATTAAGAACTAGACGTTACGTGTAAGCAAATGTTGCTAAAACACGTGATTCACATTAATATTCATAATTTATTATATGAATTCCTTTATTTCGATTCAAATACACGTAAGGTCAACTAAAACAAAGGTTCGGTAGCTTGGAGGAGGTAAACAAGAGATCCAAATCCATGATTTGGAAACATTATTAACCAAAAACCGGGAAAACAGTAAAACGTGGTGATATAAATATGACTCGTCTGTTCTCTAATACACAACCCCCATAAACTATTGAACCATCATCCTAACACGTAATCTGCATTTTGTGTACCGATATTGTTTTGCTGAATAAATGTTCAGCACGACATTGGAAAACACTATAATGTATAATAAAAACTGACAACTAATGGTGAATATTGAATCTTAATCATAACCGAAACTTATTTCGTATTAATTAGTTTGTTCTTTGGTTTACCCAAGAAGAATGTGATAATGTTGAGACAACAGTTTATTTAACGTGCGCATCAATGGAATTTTAACTTTTAACTTAAAATGTAAACGAGAAGGAACCGTTATATGTAATAGATGTGGCCTTCCAAATAACAAAAACACACACAAACAAATAAAATGGACTCCGCTGCTACCTAATATGACGTTTTCATAAAAAGATGCGACTACTTCAAAAAGGGAGCAAACGTGTTGTAGAATTATCCTATGTCCTAATGCCCTGGTCGTAGTCAGCGCCTTTAGGGGCGGGTGAGGACCAACTGTAGGCCGAGCCACCGTCTTATTAGCACTGACGTTTGGGAAATATATCTGCTTTAGGTACTCAAGGTATTGCTAAACATCCGTTAGCCCCGTACACTATTTTGGACGGTGGCAGTAGAAAGCTGCTGTCGCCTCTAGTGTTGTCAATGAACTCACCAGAACCTAATGTTTGGGATCATCCCAAAGGTTAAATTTCCCAACAGGAATCCATTGTTTTTTATTAGCGGACCACTAATCAAATTATGAAACTGAAATGAAACGCCAGTGACTTTAGAAATAGGAAAGTAAAACCATTTACTTACCTTTGTCAACACTCTTCTGCATGATTCACGCCTTTATGCGATCAGGATCGTTTGAGTATAAGTCACTTTCGCTTTATGTTTAAATATCTTTTATACATCGGATACATGAAGACGTGGTAATGAAACCATTGAGCTTTGCTATCAATAACAGCCTGTCACCACTAAAATGCAGACAAGATATACTTTTGATCTCTAGAGAACTGGAGTATCACATACCAAGTATATGTAGTTGCATTTTAATTGCTTCTGTATCAGCTTTATTGTATCATTAGCAGGTGAATAAAACGTGTCGATATATCAACGTTGTACATCTTGCGTCGAATGACAGGACATTTAGCTCTGTATAAAATATATTTATGCATTTGATATTGGATCGTACTGCTGTTATCAGACAGGCCTGTAAATGATCAGTTTTCATAATTATAAAACTTTGCTTATACGTAAAGCCAGGCTTCAAAGAGATAGACTACCTGTTATGTTCCCAGACCTACAACACATCTAGAGACTTTGACTACAGGACATGTGAAAGAGTAGACAGTTAATCAATATGTTTATATTTTAAACGAAAACAGTGTATTTCAAATGTATGTAATATTCTTTAATAAACTTGAATTAAAAATAGGTTTTGCTTCATATCAAAAGACAACAGATCTATTTCATAACACAACCTATGGTATTTACATGTCGTAGTTGATTCCATATGCAGGGGCATGTTCCCATTATCCGTATTTTCGTGTAAGAAGTCGACAACTGACGGATAAGGTCGAAGCACAGGATTTCAAAAGAAGATAAGGGTTGATGAAAACTATGGGGAAGTTTTACGTACGTCAAACTGATTTTATCAAGAAATATATTTATTTGAGCGTTGTGACGGTGGGCATGTTTTTATGCTCAGTCGTTTGCCTTCTTGCTTTGCTGTTGTGTATCTTGTTCTCATTTGAGAACGTGACATAATTTAATTGGATTGACCCAGGTTCATATGGCGTTTACGTCGTTGAAGCAGAGGACGCTAACTCTTCCGGGACACCTGATGTTTTTCTCCGTGTACTTATTCAGGAGTTCCCATGGAAATCTTTCTTTTGTTCATGTTTCGCTTAAGTTTCATTGACTTTGAGTTTGGATTATAATAATGTTGACATGTTTGTATTTTCTTTGTTTGTTCATTTGTTGTTTTTTTTTCCTTTTAGATATCGCTATCTTTCATGTTTTGGTTGATTTTCATGAATAAAATATTTCTTAGAAATATCAGCTATTAACTTATAGATGAACCGGAAAATATTAGAATTGTAAAATTTGTCCCTGTAATGGTAATGCCGACATTCACGATTATGAATGATGAATGAACGATTATGTTTGGGGGAAGTTTAAGTGAGGCTATTGTGCGTAGAAGGGATACAGGGCTGGAGTATTTCTATAGATTTAGGGTAAGTTTAGCTGAAGGCCAGAGAGCCCCGTTCATGTTCTTTTGTTCATCTCATACAATGACTCATTACTTGGGACTAGTTTTTAGGTCTATTTGATAAGGCCTTCGGGCCGGTTTCTACGTGTAGAGGTCTATAAAGGTGAGAAGAGGGAATGATAAGACCTGGAATGTACACGGGAGAAATTGACTGGAGAAATGAATAGTGGCTAATGTACTGATTACCCATGAGGATTGTGATTGAACGTGTTTGTGATTTCACGTGAATTGGAACTATATGATAAAATTAGGAATAGATAACTTACTCACCTTTTGTCAAATTTATTTTGTCGTGAGTAGAGAAGAATGTAATATTATTGAGACACCAGCTTTTTATCGGGTTCATCCGTGGAATTTTAACTTGAAATCATATGTAAACGAGCAGGAACCGCTAAATGCAATAGGTGTGGCCTTCCAAATAAAAAACACACAAACAAATACAATGGACTCCGCTGCTACCTAACATGACGTTTTCATAAAAAAGATGCGACTACTTCAAAAAGGAGCAAACGTATTGTAGAATTATCCTATGTCCTAATGCCCTGGTCGTAGAAAGCCTGTCACCACTAAAATGCAGACAAGATATGCTTTGGATTTCTAGAGAACTGGAGTATCACATACCAAGTATATGTAGTTGCATTTTAATTGCTTCTGTATCAGCTTTATTGTATCATTAGCAGGTGAATAAAACGTGTCGATATATCACTTTTGTACATCTTGTGTCGAATGACACAATGAATATTTAACGAAAATAATGTGTTTCAGATGTACACACATAATCTGGACACTACACTTCCTACTGCCTATCCAAATAACTGGTATTTTGCTGGTATGGATATTTAAACCCGTAATGTTCGCATTATTATTTAACTCTACAACTGACTCCCTGAGAGATATATCTGACCCATTTAGAATTAACCCTGTGTCATCAGCATACTTAACATTCAAAACTGATGTACTTTCAAGATTTATACACTTAATCCTTAATAGACAATTATTTGTTTTTATTTTAAAGCCAAAACTTCAACACGGAGAATGACAGTATACGGAGGAATTGGGTCCCCTTTCCGGCATCCACGTTCAGCATTAATACATTTAGAAATATTGTTTGCTTGATGCATTAACATTATTATGGAAAGTTTCGGCACATTTTCTTATATCTCCACCAAACTTTGTCAATAGAATTCCAGGATACTGAATCGAAAGCTTTCTCACAGTGAAGTAACATTAACAATCTGTTTTAATCATATTAGATATTGCCCCCGAAGCTATTTAATAATATTTGAAAGTGTTATGGGTCTCCAGTGTTTTTAAGAAATGGCGAGGCTTATCTCCATTTAGAATACAACATATCACACCATGCCTCTTTGTTTTAAGGATTCGGCAGTGATTCAGACACAGAACTTTGATTATTTTTCATGTCTTTGAGAGTTTTCCCTGCTTTATCAAATGTTATGCTTTCCTCAATGTTTTCATATTCAGTATGCTTTAGGTTTTTAACCTTATAATTCTGCTGATGGATTTCTAAATCTCTATATTAGTATAAATTGTTATAAAAAAGGTCCGAATTTCTGCCAAAATCTACCCATTTCGCTTTAGTTCTGATCTTACATCTAGTTTCATTCAAACGGATTGCCTCGAGTTCCTTTTTTACCCTGTCTAGTTGCTTCTGATCTGTATCTGTTTCATCCTTAGAATCTATTATTTTCTTCCTCACTTAAATTATTTGCTCTATATGATGCATGAAATCATGAAAATATTTCCAATGACCCAGTTTCTAGGAACAGGTGGTCGTTTATTACATATTGTATATCACTATCAGAAATGAGATTAAGACTATCAGGATTATAAACAGGTAAACAACACTGTAATTTCATATTCTCTATGCCTTTTAGGTGACCATTTCTAGGTCTCTGGTTACGGAAGACACGCGAGTGGATAACACAAATAATGACTTGAACTGCGTCATGTGGTACAGTGTAAAATTCGACGTATTTCACGTACTTAGTATGATCACATACAAGGTTTCTAAAATATCATTTAATCAAAATAATTGGTTTATCATGTTTTGATGAATAATTTGATCATTACTACAAATCTTCCCTATTTAATAATCAAACAAGCAAATGCAAATGACAAAAGTTCAAATTGTGCATTCCTCTGAACTTGAACTGGATCCGTTACATCAAATAACGAAGTAAAGAAATATCAACGAGCAGAAATCAACTTGTTTCTCAAATGTTGTAACATAAAGTTTAGTATTTGTAAGATGAACAGACGTTTACCCTATGGTCCCATTCCGTAAAAAACGAAATTTCTAAATTGTAGTAAATAATCTATATATTTTTATTAATGAATTGATTTGAAATAGATTATCTACATTAAGTGTGAAGAGGTCATGTTGAACAGCTTCTTTTCGTAATATTACAGATATTAAATGTGAAAATAGCAATATTTGGTACTGCAATCTGTATTGATAATTCGTTGTATTTTTGTATTGCTCAGTATATATTACAACTGTGTATAGCCAATCAACAGCGATCAGATTCAAGAATACTTCCATGCATTCTAAACTTAGTTCAAGTTTGGAAATAGGAGTCCAAATAGAATTGATCTAAACTTGATTTATTCGTTGTGTCGATGAGATCATATTTTATTAATGGCGAAATATTTTATTTTGTTTAAACGGCGTTACTGAATAAAGGGAGACTACTCTGAAATATTTGCAGTGTCAGAGTCTGCTGCAACATTAAGCCTCCTTTGAAATGTTCAGTGATTAAGTAAATTCATCCCGGCTCGTCTTCTAAGCTGGTAACTAACTCAAGACTTATTGGAATACAGACAACTCTTGACTAGCTCTGCTAAAGAAATCTAGACAACCCTTGGCTAGTCCTGCAAGTGGAATCTACAGAGCTCTTGACTATCTCTGCAAGTGGAATCTAGAAATATAACTTTCCCCTCATATAACATATCCCTCATATAACATATCACTCATATAACATATCACTCATATAACATATCCCCATATAACTTTTCCATCATATAACATATCTCTCATATAACATATCCCTCATATAACATATCACTCATATAACTTATCTCTCATATAACATATCCCCATATAACTTTTCCCTCATATAACATATCTCTCATATAACATATCCCTCATATAACATATCACTCATATAACTTATCTCTCGTATAACATATCCCCATATAACTTTTCCCTCATATAACATATCTCTCGTATAACATATCCCCATATAACTTTTCCCTCATATAACATATCTTTCATATAACATATCCCTCATATAACATATCACTCATATAACATATCCCCATATAACATATCCCTCATATAACATATCACTCATATAACATATTCCCCATATAACATATCCCTTATATAACATATCCCTCATATAACATATCCCTCATATAACATATTCCCCATATAACATATTCCCATATAACAAATTCCTCATATAACATATCCCTTATATAACATATTTCCCATATAACATATTCCCCATATAACATATCCCTTATATAACATATCCCTCATATAACATATTCCCCATATAACATATTCCCCATATAACATATCCCTCATATAACATATCCCCCATATAACATATTCCCCATATAACACATCCCTCATATAACATATTCCCCATATAACATATTCCTCATATATCATATCCTTCATATAACATATCCCTCATATAACATATTCCCCATATAACATATCCCCATATAACATATTCCCCATATAACATATCCCTCATATAACATATTCCCCATATAACATATCCCTTATATAACATATCCCTCATATAACATATCCCTCATATAACATATTCCCCATATAACATATCCCCCACATAACATATCCCTCATATAGCATATTCCCCATATAACATATTCCCCATATAACATATCCCCCATATAACATATTCCCCATATAACATATCCCTCATATAACATATCCCTCATATAACATATTCCCCATATAACATATCCCTCATATAACATATTCCCCATATAACATATTCCCCATATAACATATCCCCCATATAACATATTCCCCATATAACATATCCCCCATATAACATATTCCCCATATAACATATCCCTCATATAACATATCCCTCATATAACATATCCCTCATATAACATATTCCCCATATAACATATTCCCCATATAACATATTCCCCATATAACATATCCCGCATATAACATATCCCCATATAACATATTCCCTCATATAACATATTCATATAACATATTCCCCATATAACATATCCCCCATATAACATATTCCCCATATAATATATCCCCCATATAACATATTCCCCATATAACATATCCCTCCCCCTCATATAACATATTCCCCATATAACATATTCCCCATATAACATATCCCTCATATAACATATCCCTCATATAACATATTCCCCATATAACATATTCCCCATATAACATATTCCCCATATAACATATCCCTCATATAACATATTCCCCATATAACATATTCCCCATATAACTTTTATTCCTTATTTATTTTTCAATGACCTCCCTGTATTCACCTAATATTGTTTGTTTATCGGTTTTCAGACCGAATTACAAGTTTGAACACATCTCCCATTTTATTCGTTCTATGACACCAACTTAACAAACAATATAAACCGGCGAGACACATACTGAACGTTATCTGAGACAGCATGTATAGAGCAAATCTCAAACCTTACAATTCAGCACGGAAAACAAAGGCCAAGACCTGCTAAAATTATAAAAACAAGGGTTTGATTTCAAATACCCGTTTCATATGTTAATTTCAGGACAACAAGCAATGTTGATAGCTTGGATTACCTTCAATTTCCTTTCACAATTCATAAAAAACTACTTTACAGTATATATAGTCTACACGTACATTTTTGATTTTTTTATGACAACACACCGTATATACGTTTACACCGTGTATTGGCCGTCACGTTTAGTTGTGTATACTAGAACGGTTTTACCATACAGGTATCAGTATGGCCGTACCTTTTTCGACCTTGTGTATTTATTGATAAACTTGTACATTCACTAGTGCAAGAATGTGAAAATTTACATACATTTCCCGCCGTGACCTTCACCCCTATACAGAAAATTGTCCTGTTCCCGTGGGCGATATAAATCTACCTGACACTTGCTTTCACCCACCACGTAAAATCAACATGTTTGTCCATCCGCGACAGAATAAACATCCCTGTTATTATTGTGGTAATTTAGACAACAGGATGACCAGAGGAAAACGTGAACAGACAGTTCAACTGTAACCGAAAGGCAAGCAGACAGACCTGAACCAAGTCAAGTTCACCAGTTCTACATCTACATCCAGGAAAAATAGCACAGGCATGACTGAGCGAACAAATTTCACTAAGTCTTCATGTGGTACAGACGATAACTACACAGACGAGTGTAATATCCAGCTGTCCGATCCTTCCACCAGTGTTGGAGGTATATGTGGAACTGGCCCAAGAATCGCCAATGGACTGCATCAGCCTAAGAAAACAGGACAGGCCCGCTACATCGGTCTGGAATATGGTGTTGAGGATCTTCCTGGGTTTCATATGTGTTTCATTTTTGGCCTTCAGGTAAATTTTATGTTAAAATTCAAACTGCCACTTTTCCTGTAATTCACACTTAAACTTATTATTTATACTTAACTTGTAGATATTACTGATATATGTACCAGCTGCACTCAACGGTGTTAAAGGGAAGGCAGCTGCCAGCACGTGTACAGCAATCAGGATATATGAAGTAGTAGTAGTAAGTCGTAAGCTATGTGGTGAGCAATGCAAGAAACACGTGCACATCAACACGTTCGTGTAAAACATATTTTTTTCACACGTTTCAGTCCGCATGCAACAGTACATATAACCTGCAACTATCGGTAGTTATTCCTCGCGGTACGCATAGGGCTGTGAAGAGGGAGACCTTTAAGCGTATACAAAAATAATATCTTGAGACAAAAATAAGATACGTTTGTGAAAAATGTCTTTAGTCGATTCCCTGTGGTTTGTTTAAGTACCAGATACTTTAAAAGATGCCCGACATCTTTTTTTGTTTTTTGTTTTTTTGTTTTTTTACCGTTTTACAGTTATAAAAGATATAGAAAAAATTGAATTTCCATTTTTATGTACCATAGCAAATTGTATCCTGGTTCAAATGAAATGAAAATTAACAACAATTTGTCAAACTCGTCGTCATCGCTAGATACACATTGTTACAGCAATAAGAAAGAAGCAGTCAATTAAAAGCTCAGCCCACTGCGACAACTGAAACACATTATATCGCTATTTATAGACAGAGAGCTGTACATTTTCCCCGTTATTTTCACATCGACTGAAATCTTTAACAACATTTATCGCCTGTCTAAAGCCTGGATGTGGAGTAATGAAAAGTATTCAACCTTTGATTGTAGCCTTAGCTTGAGTAAAGAAAGGACCAAGGATAATAGCGTCAACCTTATGTAACATTGTGGGTAATTGACTTTCGCTTTCTACCCGAGGGTGTGGAATTTGGGGCAGGACAGAGGCTTTCCGAAGTTCTGAACCCAATTTCTATACCTGGGGGTAGAAAATCCATCATCCCACATATCTACTTACGGTTGGGTATTTTTCTCTTGCGTCATACACATATTACGGTAAACACAGAGGTGATCGAGCAACTTTAATGTATACAAAATGTATGTTTAAAATACATCCCCCACCCTCCACCCCCTCCAAAAATACCCCCTCCCCAAAACAAAAAATACACCCTCACCCCCCAAAACAAAAAAAAAAAAACACCCTCACCCCACAAAACAAAAAACAAACAAAAGCAGGAAAGGTACGATATATGTATCATCAACATTGGTGGGCAGGTGGCGCAGTGGTAACGTATTCGCTTTTCATCTAGTCGTCTGGAGTTCGATTTCCGGAACGGACGTGATAAGGTAATGGGACCACATGCGTATTCTGGTTTCCTCTCACAAATAACACCCCTGGCACGCTTACATCCGGGCCAACAAAAGTGACTAGTATAAATTGTAAAACTTGTTGTAAAACAAATAAAGCTTATTTCTAGTTTGATTTTAACATTGTGATTATTGTTGACAGCAAGTGCTGCTATCTATCAGTTCGACCATCTCCATCCCTCTAATTGTTAGTGACAAAATCTGTGCCGGAGACTTACAGGTGGTGAAATCCGAGATAATGTCGACCTTCCTCTTCATGTGTGGTGTGTGTACCATACTACAGGTGGTCGTAGGGGTCAGGTAGGTATATTATCATCCTCCATGTTTACAACTAGGTGTTTCTCATATTTACCTTTATTTTCTGTCTATCATTTCCTTGGCGTGTACCTGTGTCACTGGTTCATTTTGTACCTGTGTCACTGGTTCATTCTGTACCTTTGTCACTGATTCATTTTGTACCTGTGTCACTGGTTCATTTCGTACCTGTGTCACTTGTTCATTTTGTACCTGTTTCACTGGTTCATTTTGTAATTGTACCTGTGTCACTGGTTCATTTTGTACCTGTGTCACTTGATCATTTTGTAATTGTACCTGTGTCACTGGTTCATTTTGTACCTGTGTCACTGGTTCATTTTGTACCTGTGTCACTGGTTCATTTCGTACCTGTGTCACTGGTTCATTTTGTACCTGTGTCACTGGTTCATTTTGTACCTGTGTCACTGGTTTATTTTGTACCTGTGTCACTGGTTCATTTTGTAATTGTACCTGTGTCACTGGTTTATTTTGTACCTGTGTCACTGGTTCATTTTGTACCTGTGTCACTGGTTCATTTTGTAATTGTACCTGTGTCACTGGTTCATTTTGTAATTGTACCTGTGTCACTGGTACATTTTGTACCTGTGTCACTGGTTTATTTTGTACCTGTGTCACTGGTTCATTTTGTACCTGTGTCACTGGTTCATTTTGTACCTGTGTCACTGGTTCATTTTGTACCTGTGTCACTGGTTCATTTTGTACCTGTGTCACTGGTTCATTTTGTACCTGTGTCACTGGTTCATTTTGTAATTGTACCTGTGTCACTGGTTCATTTTGTAATTGTACCTGTGTCACTGGTACATTTTGTACCTGTGTCACTGGTTTATTTTGTACCTGTGTCACTGGTACATTTTGTACCTGTGTCACTGGTTCATTTTGCACCTGTGTCACTGGTTCATTTTGTAATTGTACCTGTGTCACTGGTTCATTTTGTAATTGTACCTGTGTCACTGGTACATTTTGTACCTGTGTCACTGGTTCATTTTGTACCTGTGTCACTGGTTCATTTTGTAATTGTACCTGTGTCACTGGTTCATTTTGTACCTGTGTCACTGGTTCATTTTGTACCTGTGTCACTGGTTCATTTTGTAATTGTACCTGTGTCACTGGTTCATTTTGTACCTGTGTCACTGGTTCATTTTGTAATTGTACCTGTGTCACTGGTTCATTTTGTACCTGTGTCACTGGTTTATTTTGTAATTGTACCTGTGTCACTGGTTCATTTTGTACCTGTGTCACTGGTTTATTTTGTAATTGTACCTGTGTCACTGGTTCATTTTGTAATTGTACCTGTGTCACTGGTTCATTTTGTACCTGTGTCACTGGTTCATTTTGTAATTGTACCTGTGTCACTGGTTCATTTTGTACCTGTGTCACTGGTTCATTTTGTAATTGTACCTGTGTCACTGGTTTATTTTGTACCTGTGTCACTGGTTCATTTTGTACCTGTGTCACTGGTTCATTTTGTACCTGTGTCACTGGTTTATTTTGTAATTGTACCTGTGTCACTGGTTTATTTTGTAATTGTACCTGTGTCACTGGTTCATTTCGTATCTGTGTCACTGGTTCATTTTGTAATTGTACCTGTGTCACTGGTTCATTTTGTAATTGTACCTGTGTCACTGGTACATTTTGTACCTGTGTCACTGGTTCATTTTGTACCTGTGTCACTGGTTCATTTTGTACCTGTGTCACTGGTTCATTTTGTAATTGTACCTGTGTCACTGGTTCATTTTGTAATTGTACCTGTGTCACTGGTTCATTTTGTACCTGTGTCACTGGTTCATTTTGTACCTGTGTCACTGGTTCATTTTGTAATTGTACCTGTGTCACTGGTTCATTTTGTACCTGTGTCACTGGTTCATTTTGTACCTGTGTCACTGGTTCATTTTGTAATTGTACCTGTGTCACTGGTTCATTTTGTACCTGTGTCACTGGTTCATTTTGTACCTGTGTCACTGGTTCATTTTGTAATTGTACCTGTGTCACTGGTACATTTTGTACCTGTGTCACTGGTTCATTTTGTACCTGTGTCACTGGTTCATTTTGTACCTGTGTCACTGGTTCATTTTGTACCTTTGTCACTGGTTTATTTTGTACCTGTGTCACTGGTTCATTTTGTAATTGTACCTGTGTCACTGGTTCATTTTGTACCTGTGTCACTGGTTCATTTTGTAATTGTACCTGTGTCACTGGTTCATTTTGTACCTGTGTCACTGGTTCATTTTGTACCTGTGTCACTGGTTCATTTTGTAATTGTACCTGTGTCACTGGTTCATTTTGTAATTGTACCTCTGTCACTGGTTCATTTTGTACCTGAGTCACTTGTTCATTTTGTACCTGTGTCACTGGTTCATTTTGTACCTGAGTCACTTGTTCATTTTGTACCGGTGTCACTGGTTCATTTTGTACCTGTGTCACTGGTTCATTTTGTATCTGTGTCACTGGTTCATTTTGTAATTGTACCTGTGTCACTGGTTTATTTTGTAATTGTACCTGTGTCACTGGTTCATTTTGTACCTGTATCACTGGTTCATTTTATACCTGTGTCACTGGTTCATTTTGTAATTGTACCTGTGTCACTGGTTCATTTTGTACCTGTGTCACTGGTTCATTTTGTACCTGTGTCACTGGTTCATTTTGTACCTGTATCACTGGTTCATTTTATACCTGTGTCACTGGTTCACACTCTTAATATACATGAACAAGCCATTAACCTGCTTTTCGTTAATGTGGCCATAAATATCGACAGAGAGCAGTGTAATGTGTTAAGCAGAAGGCATTGCTGGAGAGGTTAATGTTGTTTTGTTGCCTTTACAATATTGTGTTTTATGATGTTGTAGACTCCCTATCATCCAGGGCGGATGTCACAAGTTTATTCCCGCCATCACCGCCCTATTAACGATCGAGAGATGGAAGTGCCCTGATCTTAACACGCACGGTAAGATATATATTCGTGCAGTAGACAGAAAATATTATCATTCTAGATGATTATAATTGAATTAGTATCTAGTGTACAGTATCTACAGTGAAGAGATCCATCTTTTTCTGATTAATGATACAACATAGTGCGAGAGTGAAAACACGTATGACTAGCTTTGTGTTGTTGGGACTTACCTGTATCATAGACAGTCAGCACAGTACATCACTTTGAGCTTTTTAGAGATTCATCTTGTAAAACTTTCAACCTGTAGCGTTTTTGTGTCTTCCAGTTACGGATATTTTAAGCGCGTCGAATGCTACCCTAAACGATACTTCTTTGGATAGGACGGAGATCTGGCAGTCGAGGATACGGGAGGTAAGTTCTCCTGGATAGGACGGAGATCTGGCAGTCAAGGATACGGGAGGTAAGTTCTCCTGTATAGGACGGAGATCTGGCAGTCGAGGATACGGGAGGTAAGTTCTCCTGTATAGGACGGAGATCTGGCAGTCGAGGATACGGGAGGTAAGTTCTCCTGGATAGGACGGAGATCTATCAGTCGAGGATACGGGAGGTAAGTTCTTCTGGATAGGACGGAGATCTGGCAGTCAAGGATACGGGAGGTAAGTTCTCCTGGATAGGACGGAGATCTGGCAGTCGAGGATACGGGAGGTAAGTTCTCCTGGATAGGACGGAGATCTGGCAGTCGAGGATACGGGAGGTAAGTTCTCCTGGATAGGACGGAGATCTGGCAGTCGAGGATACGGGAGGTAAGTTCTCCTGGATAGGACGGAGATCTGGCAGTCGAGGATACGGGAGGTAAGTTCTTCTGGATAGGACGGAGATCTGGCAGTCAAGGATACGGGAGGTAAGTTCTCCTGGATAGGACGGAGATCTGGCAGTCGAGGATACGGGAGGTAAGTTCTCCTGGATAGGACGGAGATCTGGCAGTCGAGGATACGGGAGGTAAGTTCTGGATAGGACGGAGATCTGGCAGTCAAGGATACGGGAGGTAAGTTCTTCTGGATAGGACGGAGATCTGGCAGTCGAGGATACGGGAGGTAAGTTCTGGATAGGACGGAGATCTGTCAGTCAAGGATACGGGAGGTAAGTTCTGGATAGGACGGAGATCTGTCAGTCAAGGATACGGGAGGTAAGTTCTTCTGGATAGGAAGGAGATCTGGCAGTCGAGGATACGGGAGGTAAGTTCTGGATAGGACGGAGATCTGTCAGTCAAGGATACGGGAGGTAAGTTCTTCTGGATAGGAAGGAGATCTGGCAGTCGAGGATACGGGAGGTAAGTTCTCCTGGATAGGACGGAGATCTGGCAGTCGAGGATACGGGAGGTAAGTTCTCCTGGATAGGACGGAGATCTGGCAGTCCAGGATACGGGAGGTAAGCTCTCCTGGATAGGACGGAGATCTGGCAGTCGAGGATACGGGAGGTAAGTTCTTCTGGATAGGACGGAGATCTGTCAGTCAAGGATACGGGAGGTAAGTTCTTCTGGATAGGACGGAGATCTGGCAGTCGAGGATACGGGAGGTAAGTTCTGGATAGGACGGAGATCTGTCAGTCAAGGATACGGGAGGTAAGTTCTTCTGGATAGGACGGAGATCTGGTAGTCGAGGATACGGGAGGTAAGTTCTTCTGGATAGAACGGAGATCTGTCAGTCAAGGATACGGGAGGTAAGTTCTTCTGGATAGGAAGGAGATCTGGCAGTCAAGGATGCGGGAGGTAAGTTCTCCTGGATAGGACGGAGATCTGGCAGTCGAGGATACGGGGGTAAGTTCTTCTGGATAGGAAGGAGATCTGGCAGTCAAGGATACGGGAGGTAAGTTCTCCTGGATAGGACGGAGATCGGGTTGTCAAGGATACGGGAGGTAAGTTCTCCTTGATAGGACGGAGATCTGGCAGTCGAGGATACGGGAGGTAAGTTCTTCTGGATAGGACGGAGATCTGGCAGTCGAGGATACGGGAGGTAAGTTCTCCTGGATAGGACGGAGATCTGTCAGTCAAGGATACGGGAGGTAAGTTCTTCTGGATAGGACGGAGATCTGGCAGTCGAGGATACGGGAGGTAAGTTCTTCTGGATAGGAAGGAGATCTGGCAGTCAAGGATACGGGAGGTAAGTTCTCCTGGATAGGAAGGAGATCTGGCAGTCGAGGATACGGGAGGTAAGTTCTCCTGGATAGGAAGGAGATCTGGCAGTCAAGGATACGGGAGGTAAGTTCTTCTGGATAGGAAGGAGATCTGGCAGTCAAGGATACGGGAGGTAAGTTCTCCTGGATAGGACGGAGATCTGGCAGTCGAGGATACGGGAGGTAAGTTCTGGATAGGACGGAGATCTGGCAGTCGAGGATACGGGAGGTAAGTTCTTCTGGATAGGACGGAGATCTGGCAGTCGAGGATACGGGAGGTAAGTTCTCCTGGATAGGACGGAGATCTGGCAGTCAAGGATACGGGAGGTAAGTTCTCCTGGATAGGACGGAGATCTGGCAGTCGAGGATACGGGAGGTAAGTTCTGGATAGGACGGAGATCTGGTAGTCAAGGATACGGGAGGTAAGTTCTGGATAGGACGGAGATCTGGTCATAGGAGGTAAGTTCTTCTGGATAGGAAGGAGATCTGGCAGTCAAGGATACGGGAGGTAAGTTCTGGATAGGACGGAGATCTGTCAGTCAAGGATACGGGAGGTAAGTTCTTCTGGATAGGAAGGAGATCTGGCAGTCGAGGATACGGGAGGTAAGTTCTCCTGGATAGGACGGAGATCTGGCAGTCGAGGATACGGGAGGTAAGTTCTCCTGGATAGGACGGAGATCTGGCAGTCGAGGATACGGGAGGTAAGTTCTCCTGGATAGGACGGAGATCTGGCAGTCGAGGATACGGGAGGTAAGTTCTTCTGGATAGGACGGAGATCTGTCAGTCAAGGATACGGGAGGTAAGTTCTTTTGGATAGGACGGAGATCTGGCAGTCGAGGATACGGGAGGTAAGTTCTGGATAGGACGGAGATCTGTCAGTCAAGGATACGGGAGGTAAGTTCTTCTGGATAGGACGGAGATCTGGTAGTCGAGGATACGGGAGGTAAGTTCTTCTGGATAGAACGGAGAACTGGCAGTCGAGGATACGGGAGGTAAGTTCTTCTGGATAGGAAGGAGATCTGGCAGTCAAGGATACGGGAGGTAAGTTCTTCTGGATAGGAAGGAGATCTGGCAGTCAAGGATACGGGAGGTAAGTTCTCCTGGATAGGACGGAGATCTGGCAGTCGAGGATACGGGGGGTAAGTTCTTCTGGATAGGACGGAGATCTGGCAGTCGAGGATACGGGAGGTAAGTTCTTCTGGATAGAACGGAGATCTGGCAGTCAAGGATACGGGAGGTAAGTTCTTCTGGATAGGACGGAGATCTGGCAGTCGAGGATACGGGAGATAAGTTCTTCTGGATAGGAAGGAGATCTGGCAGTCAAGGATACGGGAGGTAAGTTCTCCTGGATAGGAAGGAGATCTGGCAGTCGAGGATACGGGAGGTAAGTTCTGGATAGGACGGAGATCTGGCAGTCGAGGATACGGGAGGTAAGTTCTTCTGGATAGGAAGGAGATCTGGCAGTCAAGGATACGGGAGGTAAGTTCTTCTGGATAGGAAGGAGATCTGGCAGTCAAGGATACGGGAGGTAAGTTCTCCTGGATAGGACGGAGATCTAGTAATCATTGATTCTTGGGACCTGTCTTGCACATATCTTTGATATGTATAGTTTGTTATGATGTATACCGTATATGTATTATGTGTGACATACCGACTCTTCAGAAATTATCACCGCTCTGTAAACAGTCATTTTGTTAGCGCTTCAAATGGCTGTTTCTTCGCCATGTGTTATCAGTATTTTATTGCCGTAAACAATAAAATCCTATATAAACACGTTGGATAAGACAAGGATGTATATAAGACGTCTTCTTTCTAACCATCTTACAGGTGAAAGTGTGTGAGACTGAAAACACTTTGGTATCCACTTGTATACTGTCTTTACTGCAAACACAAAATAAGTAGACATACAGTTGCCAAGGGTGATATATCTTAGCCTACATGTATATAACTGACAACGTGTACTGAAAACGGCCCAGCCTTTCCTGAAAGCTATCTCAGTTCAATCGGGGTAGTCGGAGAACCTTATCAATATAGATAACGTAACAGGGAAGATAACCCATATCCCCCAACCCCTTCACTTTTGAGGGCGCTTTACAGCAAAGCCAAAAGAGGCATAGAACTACCTGGCCAGTTTTCACTACACATGGTGTAAAATGGTATAAAAATGAAAACGGTCAATCAGAGCATCCAATGTCAGATTATCGGAAATTATCTTTTGATATTTTGGAAAGAATAGTCTGGCTTCAATATTTCTTTATTAATATTTCATATGAGGGGTTAAATCAGACAGATATCATATGTAATGTTATAGCTTGAAGACGATTTTCCTTCCGGAACACCTGGTCTTATTTCCCGTGTACTTTTTCATGAGTCTTCGTGTAATTATTTCTTTTGTTCATATTTTGCTATGATTTTTCAGTAAGATATACTACCTGGAAATTGTGTCATCATTTCAATATTTACAGCGAACAGTTATGACCTGAATGATAATAAACATGTTTAGACATTGTAAACGATCAATACAAAACTAGCCTTTCTGTCATGTGCAGATACAGGGTGGAATCATGCTGGCATCAGTGACACAAGTTCTGATTGGGTGTACAGGACTGCTGGGTGTCCTACTAAATTATATTGGACCAATCACCATTGTCCCTACTATCACCCTGGTCGGTTTGTCGTTGATTGACGTGGCTATCCGTTTCTGTGAGAAACAATGGGGGATATCCGCCTTGTGAGTATAGAACATAACAAACTGACTGATGTAGCCAAGATAGACAAAAATTGCAACTGAAAGTATGTCCAATTAAACACTCTTTTATACAAGAGAGCTAAGGGCCTTAACGGTCATCCATTACAATGCTGTCGTTCCTGTAACACGTCACAGAAATATTGTTGTTTATAAGTAGGATAACGCGAACTACATTTTACATGTAAAGCAAATGGTATGGAAGGTTTCTGCCAAATTTCATTGAAATCAGTTCAGGAGTTTTCCAGGAGTAAGCAATTAATATCTGTCACTGATTGGGATAATTGGCAATATGTATCAGCGTCGATTCCTTAAGAATGTGGAAATATAAGACAAATATAGAATCCCTTTTATTTGAAAAAAAAAACAATATTTGAGAAGCAAAATGAATAGTCCTTTGACTTTTGTGGGTCAGCTTGCAGTACTAGAAATCTTATCCCTGTTTACTGATAAACAACGACATTCAAGAAGAGTGAAATTCTTATTTATTTATTTATTTTGTTATAGTCTCATTAAAGTCACAACTGACCCTACAGCTTTACCAATTTCAATGCAGACAAAAATCCGATATAATTGTAGATGTTGCTTATTCCTTCCAGAACTATCGCACTGGTCTTCCTCTTCTCCCTGTACCTACGTAATATTGTCGTTCCGACGCCATCGTGGAACAGACGGAAGGGGTATCACGTGATTAAATTTCCATACTTTAAGTTACTTCCGGTACGTTTTATTTTAGAGGTGACATGTATTATCATTTCTAAGACATTCTAGACATACAGAAATTGCTCTGTAAAAATTTTGCATTGATCCGAAATAGAATTATACGATGGGTTGATATATTTCATGACACATCTCTTAAACTCTACATATAAACGGAGAGATATTGTCTACCCAAAACGAACGTTTTAAGGACATGAAGATGAAAAACGCCTACGGACTCAGAAATGAAATTTAAATAATAATAAAGAAGTCATATGATTATCTGAAATCTCAAGACAAGAAATTCTATCGTGATTGTGTAAAACATACGGTCTTCTTATGGTACAAGAACGCAATCCCATCTCTTACAACGGGAAAGATGAACGATAAGATATGAATGTTTGTGACATTGGCGAGAAAATAAATCCAATTAAATTCAGAGACATCTTTCGAAGTACGAAACACAATGTTGCTGCATGTCTATTGGAAAGCACTGTCGATAATTTTTCTATACAAAGTACTACCGTTTGCCTTCTCGAGTAACTCACTCTCAAAGTCAAAAGATTTGACCAGAAAATGCTCGCTAGCTGCATCAAGATGAGCCTTATAAAACATTTTCATCTTCATCAATTCAGGTCTTACTTGCCGTAGGTTTGTCGTGGAGTTTGTGTGCCATCTTAACAGGAAGTGACGTATTATCCTCAAACAGTTCACTTCCGGAATACTGGGCGAGAACTGACGCGAGAACTGAAGTGCTGTATTCTACAGAGTGGCTGTTTTTTCCATACCCATGTAAATACAATATTTTTTTGTTGAATAAATACTTTTATGATATTGCTGATTTTGTATGTAAATTTCAAAGATCTGAAGTACGTGATCAGAAGAAAAATCTTACATATCAAGCCATTGATTATCAGGTCACAACTAGAATAACAACTAAAATGTACTTGGTTAAGTACATCTGTACCAAGATATCATGCTCACAGTACATCTAAACCTGGATATACTATATGTAATGCAGCGTGTAAGATTCCGTTTAATTGATTTAATATCTCTATACTAAATCTTGTTTTTTTACACGAATTGATATTACAGGTCAGTGGGGATTACCGACCGTCAGTGTCGCTAGCTTCATGGCCATGTTGGCAGCTACTGTCACTTCGATCATCGAATCAGTGGGAGACTACTACGCATGCGCCAGAGTGTCAGGGGTCACTCCTCCTCCAGCACATGCCATCAACCGTGGTATTGCTATAGAAGGGTTCGGTAGCATCCTTTCTGGATTGGTTGGATCTGGGGGAGCCACGACATCCTACAGTCAAAATGTTGGAGCTATCGGCTTCACAAAGGTATCGATAATCACATCTCTGTGCTAATGACATACGTAAGTCTGATTCCTGATCGATAAGTCGATAGATCGATAGCTAAGATTCTCCTTATTTTGTTATATCATTAAAAACATTTGACGACATCTACTTGGTGTAATAAGTTGGCTTATGACGATATTTATATCATATTTTGATACTCAATTTCGTCTGATGTGTATATCTTATATTTTCGTTCAACATTTATTTTCATAGAAACGATTTTTAATACATAGCATTGATATATAGAAAGCTGAAAAGTTGTAACCGAAAGCAATCGCCTCTGCGTACTTTGGGCGATGATCAAATTTTCTGTTACATTTTCACAATTGCTTATTTGCGATATTTCCCACTGGAATATATATCAATTCATTTTCTTTTTATTAAGAACACTTCAGCTTACGGATACAAAGTTTAAAAGTAAAGAGTTTCAACACAGGTTATGTGTTGACAGGGAAAATGGAAAATCCCACCATTTTTTTCCCGGATGCATAAACATTAACCACGATTATATGTCAAATACTACATGAATTGATTCTCAGAGGCTCATAGAGAACATCAAATATGGCACCATATAAAATACCAGTTGCTTAAATTTTATACAGGTAGCCAGTCGAGGGGCTTTTGTTGCCGCAGGGATCATTTTCCTCCTAAGTGGTGTGTTCGGAAAATTTGGCGCGATCCTGGTCATGCTCCCTGACCCAGTTTTAGGTGGCATTGTCGTCATCAGTTTTGGTATGGTGACGTCAGTCGGATTGTCGAACTTACAGTTTGTGGACTTGTCATCTGGACGTAATCTGTGTATTATTGGGTCATCCCTTCTGATCGGGCTTATGGCGCCGAAATACCTGAATGACAATCCAGGTGTTATAAACACAGGTACAACTAGTTATATGACAGTCAACTTGACACGATTATAATTACTTTGTACACTGCAATATGGTGAGCAATATAATTTCAAACGGAAAGAGGAATGGGGTTTTATGTTCTCTAAAAATGTAAATAAACTTTAGTTAATATGTTCGTATGTGTTAAAACAAAAGATAAACTTTAGTTAATATATTATTCTATGTTAAAACAAAAGATAAACTTTAGTAGATTTATGCTTCTATGTTAAAACAAAAGATAAACTTTGGTAGATTTATGCTTCTATGTTAAAACAAAAGATAAACTTTAGTAGATTTATGCTTCTATGTTAAAACAAAAGATAAACTTTTGTAGATTTATGCTTCTGTGTTAAAACAAAAGATATATAGATTTATGCTTCTATGTTAAAACAAAAGATAAACTTTAGTAGATTTATATGTTAAAACAAAAGATAAACTTTGGTAGATTTATGCTTCTATGTTAAAACAAAAGATAAACTTTAGTAGATTTATATGTTAAAACAAAAGATAAACTTTTGTAGATTTATGCTTCTATGTTAAAACAAAAGATAAACTTTAGTAGATTTATGCTTCTGTGTTAAAACAAAAGATAAACTTTAGTAGATTTATGCTTCTATGTTAAAACAAAAGATAAACTTTAGTAGATTTATGCTTCTATGTTAAAACAAAAGATAAACTTTAGTAGATTTATGCTTCTATGTTAAAACAAAAGATAAACTTTAGTAGATTTATGCTTCTATGTTAAAACAAAAGATAAACTTTAGTAGATTTATGCTTCTATGTTAAAACAAAAGATAAACTTTAGTAGATTTATGCTTCTATGTTAAAACAAAAGATAAACTTTAGTAGATTTATGCTTCTATGTTAAAACAAAAGATAAACTTTAGTAGATTTATGCTTCTATGTTAAAACAAAAGATAAACTTTAGTAGATTTATGCTTCTATGTTAAAACAAAAGATAAACTTTAGTAGATTTATGCTTCTGTGTTAAAACAAAAGATAAACTTTAGTAGATTTATGCTTCTGTGTTAAAAAGATGAACATTACTGGATGGATTATTTTAACTGTTATAATTAAATAAATTACATATTTTGTGAAGAATGACACTTTACCCAGCTAAGAAACCTGATGACTACATGTAGCTTGTATTGTTCATTGACATTTGTAACCAACAGAACTGCTCGTGCTAATAAGATATATTTTAACAACAGGAGTAAACGAGCTGGATCAGGCAATATCTGTACTGTTGAGTACAGCCATGTTTGTAGGCGGCATGCTCGCGTTCGTCCTTGACAATACAGTCCCAGGTATGTACAGAATCAGTAAACGACAAAGTTAAGTATGTAAAAATAAGAAGAAAATCGAGTTTCAGATAAGTATCTTTAAGTATTTTTTTATTAGCATCATTACCCATTCATCAGCATTTTTTTCTTTGACACATGTTTGATATGACCTAACGAAATTGTGATTGGCCAAAATTTTTATTGTTTTCATGTGACGTCATAATCTCATGAAGTTATATGTGACATCACCAAATACAGCGATGTGGAGTGAGAATACCGCCAGTTTAGACTTTTATTTTCAACAACGCGTTTTTTTCTCACTACTTTTAGCAAACAAATCGATAATACCTGATTAACACATGTTTTATTATTTTTTTTTTATTTAAATTGTTGAAACTTGTCACAATATGTTATCTTTTTAACTCACCAGAGGCTCGGTAAAATTAAGATATAGCACTCCATTTGAAATTTCATATCTCATTTTATGAAGGTATGTTATTATAATCAAATTAAGTCTGCCATCTCGTCAGTTAAATTTGATGAAATATCGCATACCCATAGTTATTAATGGAAGATCTTCTGTTTATTAAATAGTTGAATATGTGAGTAGTAGAAAATCAATATTTATGTGTATTCGTAAACAAAATATATAAAAATGCAACAACATATTTATAGAATTAGATTTTGATACAAAATAATGTATTTAACTTTTTAAGAATTACAGAAGAAACTTTATAATACATTCCACCAGCTGTTGTTTACTTAATGAACTAATTTGTCGTTGTTAGATGATGTCGTTAATGGTTTTAACACGAGCTATGCCTTGGTTATTAGGGACGGACGAAGAGAGGGGAATACTTGTCTGGCGAAGTCAACTTTTGTCCGCATCTGTAGATGGAAATGACGTAACAGAGGAAACGACAGCCAGTTCACTTGCTATCTACGACCTGCCACTAATAACACCTATCTTACGTAGACACAAATGGTGTAGATTCGTACCGTTTTTGCCTACATTTGATTACGATAGGTTGTCACAAAGCAAGTGCTGTAAGAATAATGAAGTTGAGGCGTCCTCAGATCAACGACATTCATTGAAGTCACATGAAAATGAGACCAATTACAGCTGAGGTATCATGCACTGTGATAATCATAGACATTCCTATCAATTTAATAGTAATCATTTACTTTTTTTATCAACAATTATGAATTTGTGATGTAGATATCTATACTGATGATTGGACAAGGCCACGCTCATACTCGTCATGTTTTTGACAATGGTGAGTAAGATGCCACAGACGTCATGTTTTTGACAATGGTGAGTAAGATGCCACAGACGTCATGTTTTTGACAGTGCTGAGTAAGATGCCACAGACGATTTTTTCAGAAAATCTACGTTTGTTGGCGCATCAATGCACTTGAACGATATTCAAGAAATCAAAACTGTATATCGATACAATTTTATAAATTGTGATAAAAACCAAGGTTTTTATATTGATCTAGAAATCAATGGTACAAAGTGGTTTTCTTGTGTAGTTCATGAATATATGTGACGTTTTTGGTTGTGGACAGAAAAGTTTGCTTTTAACTGATGATACACAAACATAAGTCTACTTCATCATCATCTGTGCCCTTTACCGCAGAAAACAATCAGCACATCAGGTACCAAATAACAGCGGTACAACCAGGTCGCAGATAGCAGTTTTTCTGTTTTAACATAGGCACCTAACCGTTTCACTAAATTTGTATATCAAAGTTTAGTGCGCCTCAAAAATCGATTCTTCACATTAATATTCATTTCACTTAAAAATCTTCTTGTTATCCAAGAAATTGAAAGAAATATGTTGTTTGTATTTATATCAATTAAAAGTCGAAGTTTGTTTTTCAAACAACGACAAACCTCAGGTACATTCAGAGCCAAAAGCTCCATACACCGAGGGAACAGACCTCCTGATAACCATGTTAATGACTCCACTGTATCCTGTGTTTCAACTGTACTTTGTGCTTTATAAAAGAATGGTTATCTGTCAGATATTTAGCCTGCCTTCAGTAGTCCCAAGATTTGATCTTACCGCAATATCATCTACTTTTGTTTGATTTCTTAGTATTTGAGTCTTCACAAGGTTAACACCACTTATATAGATAGATTGACTTTCTGACAAGGTTAACACCACTTCTATAGATAGATTGACTTTCTGACAAGGTTAACACCACTTCTATGGATAGATTGACTTTCTGACAAGGTTAACACCACTTCTATAGATAGATTGACTTTCTGACAAGGTTAACACCACTTCTATAGATAGATTGACTCTCTGACAACGTTAACACCACTTCTATAGATAGAATGACTCTCTGACAAGGTTAACACCACTTCTATAGATAGGTTGACTTTCTGACAAGGGTAACACCACTTCTATAGATAGATTGACTTTCTGACAAGGTTAACACCACTTCTATAGATAGATTGACTCTCTGACAAGGTTAACACCACTTCTATAGATAGATTGACTTTCTGACAAGGTTAACACCACTTCTATAGATAGATTGACTTTCTGACAAGGTTTGCATTTCTTTAACCACTACAGACGTCAGAATATTTCGAATAGGAAATATGCATTTTGACTTTTATTTGTTATTTATTTTGGATGAAGTACAAGCATGAATGGATGTTTTTGTGGATATCTATGTAAGCAAATTTCTTTCACCATTAAATTATAATAGAGTGATACAAGGATAACGAGAAAGCAAAGAATAAGAGAAAATTGAAAAAAAATCTCAAAACGCTAGCTTTCAATTTCATTTTATTGCCGCAAATTTCCATAAAAACTATAACCATATGATTTTTGATTCGTGTATTTGGCAATTTTACCGTTTGCAAGATGCAAGGTTTGACAGAAAAATGTTTGGAAATTATTTTTATAATTAAGAAGAAGGGGTCGCTTTGGTTATTATTATTATTATTTTAAATTTTAAATATGTGATTGGTGGTGATAATCTATGCAGACTTTTGTTGAATTATCTCCAAAACTGGAGTTATAGCCTAGCAACGGAAACCGTATCATACATCAACTACATCGTCACAAAATTAATTCCAACGGAAAAAAACCGCAGCTCTTCACTTTGGAAAAAAGTACAACGAAGTCGCACTTTATAGTGACAATCTCCATACAATTTCCATTTTTATTGATATTTTCGTCCTCCATAATATTTCTGTTAATGTCAAAATGAATGTTCTATTCAATAATATTCCCACCTAGAAATAAAGTTTCCTGTGATAAATGTATTAGCAAGCTTGTGTAGAATTCAAATGACACAGGGTTTGTAATGGCCATTTTAAGGATGCGATTTACAATTTCAGAAATGAATGAAACAATCAGGTCAGATAACTGTGCTGCACAGAATATTGGTTATTTACAATCGTTTAAATGTTTACGCAGATTAACGTGTTGTATGTGTTATATGGCTTTGTATCATTTGCTACCAAATAAATCGAGTTTTAAACTAGATTTTTTTTTCATTCCCTTTTCGAAATATGTTGGTCATACTTGAATCAAGGGAGTTCCCTTCAAGAACCTTGTTTTATACGCAATGTCTGTTTCCCCACTCACAATTGCTAAACATTGTACGGGCTTTCAGTACTGCTTACGTATTGCAGAATCACTCCAGCACGATTTTGTTAACACAAATGTAATGTACAATGATGTAAAATAGGTTTGTATCATAGCAGTACATCGAAGTCTTCAATAGAAAATAAAGGCACGCTGATTGATTAAACGCTTACCATGATTTGTATAATTGTAACAACACAGGAACAACCGAAATGCTTACAGACTTTTAATTCAAAATCAAATTCGATAAAACGCGGTAAACTATGGCGAACAGAAACAGTTGCACGGAAACGCATTAAAACACTTAAAAGGAGAAAAAGAACAGGTGTTCTGGAAGGCTGAACATCTTCAGCTTCATCGACGACACCTGCCATGTAAATCATGCTCATCAAAATAAGTAATATCACGTTCTCAAATGACAAAGGTAACAACAACGGAACCAACAGTATATCAGCGCCTAGCTTTATCTCTCACGAACCGATGGAATATTCTCAATAGATCATTTTGACGACTGCAATATATTCCCCATCATTTTCATCAACGTGCGTTTCTTGAAACCCTGTGGTAAGTTTGTCTATCTGTTGCCGACTTTTTTATATTGATAACAAGCCCTTAATTATCGAATTCACTGTCATGTTTATGAATCCAATATAAAAGAGGGAGGTCAATATTCTTATCATTTATATGCATTCTAAATAATTGTAATACTGAAGCATGCCTACCCAGTATTTCTTTCGGAAAATCTATGATGTCGGTAGAGTTTCCTTTGTTATCAAGCACAAGCCTATTTCGTTCGGTATGATGGAAATGTAGTGTTAAAACGTAGGTCAAACCCTATACAATATATACAGTTTATTTACTATGCATCATTATTACAGTATACACAATAACCTTTAAAAACCAAACTCAGAAATCGGAAAAATTCCACATTCTCTCTCCCTCCCCCTCTCTCAAATGATGTAGATATTTACAAATGAATTGATAACAGACACTAAAAGTATTGATCACAGAAAGCATGGTGCGCATATATAGTCCTTGTAACTAAAACTACTAAAAATGTTCTCGCCCAAATTAATAGACAAATTCTATTGGCCACACAGTCCAATTAAATATATGTTTGTCACACAGACTTCGCCTTCTGCTTTATCAACGACACCCGCCATGGAAACCTTGGTCAATATAAGTAAGTAACGTTCTTAAACGAGGAAAACATATAAAGCAACGGAACCAACAGGTAAACTAACAAGCATCAAACACGACCACTTAACAAATTCCTCTCTACTGATCGAGCAGGATCCCAAGTTTCTTGCGATTATTAGAAACATTAACAACTGGTCTATATAAGTGATGTATCATAAGGAATACCAGGTATAACTCCACATATTGTAGTTATTTACAAGCAGAGTTTAATGACATCTCTATAGAGAGAAATTACACCGGTATATATCTGTAACGTCTTTATTGATCAGATACCGGGCATCAGGGCTCGTATTCATGTCACCTTTCTCATGCTCAAGCATGCATTGTGTGCTCAAACCTTATATCTTGTTTAAGTTAAAATTTATAAATAAGGATGCTGATTTTGCCAAAGATTATAAACAAATTTTGAAAGGACTTCAAGTCAAAGCTATATTAATTTGTATTATTTCATATAATTTAGGTGAATTATAAAAAACGTTTGCTTGAGCACAAAATCTATGCTTAAGCATGAGACTGGTTTTATGATACGGCCCAGGTGTTATCCCTTCAACAGTATTGTTCTACTCCTACAGTATCAAGACCCCAAATTATCTAGATATAAAACGTTTTCTTTGTTTAAGCAATGTAAGTACTGTATATATATTTAAAACATACACACTATATAAATAGGGACGTTAGTTAGTTAGTATTACTGTGACCTCAACAATGAGGATTAGGGGATTAAGGTTGCGGCGAAGTTTTTGTACTAGTGTTCTAGAGGTACTGTGCTAATACCATGTTAATCTGGGATTGTAATCCTACCGCACATAATAACAATGAAAGTGGAACATCGCTTACCTCAATACGCAAATAATTAAATCAACAAAACTATATCATTCGGTGTCATTTTTATATACCAATGTTATTTAGGTGTAAACAATTAGGTCGACCATTGTAACAGATTCATTTACTTTCATGTCCAAACTGTAACCTTAAATGTTATAACGGTTATACTACATTAACGGTACTGACATCCAACATGGCGGCCATGTCTTGAGCTGGACGTTCTGGGAGAGTCATACCTGTTACAGGATGTGGGACCATTGACACCCGCCAGAACCCAGACTGTCTTGTAAAAATCTTCATAGCCATTCACCATGGGGGAGGATGTTATGTACAACCAGTTCTTGTCAGGTATGTCTCTCTCTGTGTTTATAGCTTCGTTTACAATTTGTACATAATTACACATCTATATATAAATCAAGATGGGAGGGAAAATAGTGTTCAGTACTGACGAAAATGTTCTGCACATTATTACAAATAACGGCCAATTAAATGGTTATGTAGTTATAATTCATATATTTTTCGCGCCTGTTAATTATACTTTGTCTATGTTTTCCGTGTCTGTCTATACAACTATTCTATTTTTGTATATTTAACGTGTCAGCCGAAATTAATTATCTTTTGTCCACGTGTTCCGTGTCTGTCCACCATTATTATATTTATTTATTTTATATGTTTTACATATCTGTGTACAATGATTATATTTTGTCTTTGCTCTCAGTATCTGTCCACAATGATAGTATTTTGTTTTCGTATATTTCACATGTCTTTATACAATAATTAGACACTGTATATTTTACGTATCTGTCTATAATAGTAATATTATATATTTTATGTGTCTGTCTATAGTAGTTATATTTTATGTGTCTGTCTATAGTAGTTATATTTTTTGTGTCTGTCTATAGTTGTTATATTTTATGTGTCTGTCTATAGTAGATATATTTTATGTGTCTGTCTATAGTAGTTATATTTTATGTGTCTGTCTATAGTACTTATATTTTATATTTTATGTGTCTGTCTATAGTACTTATATTTTATATTTTATGTGTCTGTCTATAGTAGTTATATTTTATGTTTCTGTCTATAGTAGTTATATTTTATGTGTCTGTCTATAGTAGTTATATTTTATGTGTCTGTCTATAGTTATTATATTTTATGTGTCTGTCTATAGAAGTTATATTTTATATTTTATGTGTCTGTCTATAGTTATTATATTTTATGTGTCTGTCTATAGATATTTTATATTTTATGTTATATTTTATATTTTATGTGTCTGTCTATAATAGTTATATTTTATGTGTCTGTCTATAGTAATTATATTTCATGTGTCTGTCTATAGTAGTTATATTTTATGTGTCTGTCTATAGAAGTTTTATTTTATGTTTTATGTGTCTGTCTATAGTAGTTATATTTTATGTGTCTGTCTATAGTAGTTATATTTTATGTGTCTGTCTATAGAAGTTTTATTTTATGTTTTATGTGTCTGTCTATAGTAGTTATATTTTATGTGTCTGTCTATAGTTATTATATTTCATTATTGAAGTTTTTACTTCTCTGTCAACAGTGAATATATTTTGTATATTGTTTGGTATATTGTGTATATCTATGGTAGTTCTATATTGTACATTTGATGTATAAGCGTATGATTGACGTGTCTGTCTACAGTTATTATGCTTTTCTACAGGAGACCATGGGATGATAAGTGGATGTCCGAATATAGTGTTGCTGTTTCTCGCTCTCGCATTACTGGTGGGCGCTATCGTACTGGTAGCCTGCCTCAGTAAAAAGTAAGTAGGATGCATTCATGCGTTTTTTTCCGTGTCATATTTTGAATAATTCTCTCCCTAAATAAATCCACCGACAACAAACGCCATACGACAGTTTGTGTCGTTTTTATTCTACAGTGTAACTCATATAGTCACCTACATAGTATAAATCTCATACGTGGTCCATCGACTAAAGCTTTGTCGTCTTATTTCTTCATCATCACCAAATGATGTTCTGGTGCCCCCAAAATTTACTGTAACCGGCTGGCCACTTTTTAATCAATGCGAATAGTGGCATGGATAAGAAACTACATATGTAATCGACGTTGGTATGAAATTATGTGGTGAATGAAAATTACCACAATTATTTAATTATGGGGCTGCTGCACCTTCGCGGCTAGATTTTGGCTTTTGTAGATTTACCTCAGTCGTCTACTAGGCTTCAAAATTTAGGCCTTTAGCATCACTAAGGCGTCCCAGAAGGACGAAACAGCTGTATGATGTAGCATCACTGACAAATCCTAGAAGGAAGAAACAGCTGTATGATGTAGCATCAATACAAACCCTAGAAGGAAGAAACAGCTGTATGATGTAGCATCAATACAAACCCTAGAAGGACGAAACAGCTGTATGATGTAGCATCACTTACGAGTCCTAGAAGGACGGAACAGCTGTATGATGTAGCATCACTTACGAGTCCTAGAAGGACGGAACAGCTGTATGATGTAGCATCACTAACGAGTCCTAGAAGGACGAAACAGCTGATTGATGTAGCATCATTGACAAGTCCTAGAAGGACGAAACAGATGTATGATGCAGTTTAAGTCATTGTTTGGTTTTCTCTAAATTAGGAAACGGTGCTATTCACGTGTATATCTTTTGTAAATCTCTCTAATGACTTTACTTACTTGGATTCACCAAGAATCACATGGCGAGTGTCGTCGATGAAGCAGAGGAAAGATACTACTCCGGCACATCAGGTCATCTGAACATCTCCTTGTGCTCTTTCAGGAGTCTCCGTGTAACTTTTTCTTTGTTTCATATCTTGCTCCAGTTTAGATTATGAATATATTGACATTTTCTTGTTTTTTCTTATTCACAGAAAGAAGAAGGTTGGACCAGAAGAGGTTAAGGCCGAACCTGTGAAGTCAAAAGAAGAGGACCCCAATACAAATTCTGATGTAGTGGATGATATCGCAGATGAAATAGATAAATTTGCGGAACAAAAGAAAAAGATGGCGCTTTATCTAAGCTACCTTAATACGCGAGACGGAGAGGGGCTTGCAAATGCTAACGCAAGACGATTTTTGATCGCGACGAAGGGGCGTAATGTGGTCAATAACCCTAACTTTGAGGATGAGATTGAGGAGATTATCGACGAGGATCAGATGGAATACTTAGAGCGACGCCGTCGGGCTATGGTTAACCAACTCAACGCTGTAATGGGTGTGGACAAAAAGAAAGACAAGCAGCGCAATCGAAGACCTGACAATTTTATGTGACAGCTCTTCCTTCGATTGTACGGATTTCCAATTCATGTTTTTCATTCAGGGGTGCCTGTTTACATTAATGGCATCGCTCTATTTTCCATTCCTTTATAAAGAGAATATATATATATATATTACAAACAACCCGAGGACGAGGGTTAGAATTGATGTCAAAGTAAACACTGTCTGTAAAGTGTCCTTCGGTCCACGCGTAATGGTGGGTGTCTTCTTTACCTTACCTCTAACAATCCAGGCCTTAAACACATAAACCTTGCACAATATCTATTGTATTTTGGAAATGAAAAACTCGACCCTATCTTAGAATTAACGTTTCTGTTTCCCAACACATTTTCACCTACTGTGTCAGTCATTAGGAGAGGTTATGTCTTTAAAAGTAATAGAGGAATACAGCGTAGTTCTATTACAAAGTAGATGCCGTCTTCCACTCAACTTACTTAGGTGTGATTTTGTCGATTTCCTCACAAAGTGACCCATTGAGTATTGGCAAACAGGCTAAATCTTACATACCCCTCCTCCTCTCCCTAGAATGAATAAATGGACTGCATGGCAAATAGTTATGATTGTACATAATGAAAGTCAGTACTACACAAGCTGACAGTTTCTGTTTGGAAAAAACGCGAGTTATCTCCTCTCTACCGTTTCTTTCACGTTGGTCAGTCCTTTTATAGAACAAGTTTAACTATATAGCCAAACGGAACTACAGTTAGGTCTGGCGATGGAACGTGGAATGGACCTGAGGACTCAACGTATGAATTAAGTCATGTTCCTCTGAAATACAGCTTAAAGAACAAGTGGGGACGATTTGTGTTAGAAGGAGGTAATTACCAGAGAAGGGAAGTAATATTGTAGGTTACCTTATCGGATGGCAAGTGTGGGTAATGTGGGATAAAATGTAGCAAGTAGGGTTTAGCCGAAACCATTGCCTGATTTACACTGTAACTCATTAGTATACATGCATGCTTGTCATCAATGCATTTGGGAGTTTGATGACGGACAATTAAGCGATATACTTAGAAAAAAAACAAACACCATGTTATGGAATTATAACTTCAGATAATGAAAATTCCATTCCTTCATCCTTCCTTCCGTAACACATCCACTTACATACAAATACACACCAAAACACTTGTACATCCTTAACCATACACACTTGTCTCATGTAATGTTATATTGCCAATAAGTTGTCCTGATGGATGAAATTAATTAGGTTTGGTTGATTTTTGGAAATATACTTTACATATCACATGTACATTATGAAAGTTCTATCACTGTGTAAAGTTAAAAACGACTAGTAATTGAACCAAGTTCTTTGTGACTCCATATTGGACAGAAAACAAATTTGAATAAAGGTTTATATAAAAGTGTTTTTTGGGGGTTTGTTAAGGTGTCATGTGACTTAGTCATGTGGTATAGGCATGAACCCACAGTCTATGACGGTAATATGATCGAAACTAATTACCATATTTGCCGTGGCAGCTGTCAAGTTTGTCAGGTAAGTCCGAGTAACGTAGACATTTAAGATTGATGGTCATCTTTAGAATCCCTATAATAAACTATCACAATGTGTGATGTGACGTTTTAGGATTTAGGAGCTTGTTTATATAACAGAATGTAGCATGATGCAAGAACACAAAGTTTCATGAGGGTATTTTTTTTTTATCAAATTTGACTTGGTCACACGGTACGTTTAACATCAAGTCGTTGTTATAGGGTACTCGGTGTTAATTTATATCAGCTCGTTGGTGTAATTCTATACATTCTTCACTATGTCGTGCACCGAGAACAAACCAGTCTACTCCTGTAGACACGCAGTTAGTAAAAATATAATTATTCAAAACGGGATTCTGCAAGAAATCGAGTAAAGAACAAGACATAAATAGCCGACTAGCCTGATCAGTCTCTTTCGTCGTGGTCCCTTATCACCGATCCAATACTTAGCTAGTGCCACATTTTGTAATTGTGTCAGCAACTCTTGTTATACATCAGGACTAAATTCATGTGCGAAGTGGCAAAAGTTCAGGGCTGAGCCACTAAATCAGATATACATATATATCTTATAGACTTGTCTACAACAGGCACACGTACATCAGTTATAATATTGATACGGAGACGAGTTTGCTCTTCAGAAGGATGACGGGCTCCTGTTGTTTGTCCTCGTGGATTAAAACGACTATCAACGTCAGCAGTGTCTGTCTCCATTTTATGAATTTAGGTATGGTAAAATCGTTCGGTGCTATGTAAAATGGATCAACCAGGTTCTGGTGCTGCAGAAAACAGGTGGATGGTTTCCCTTAGTTCAGGTCTGCTGCTCTTGTCTGTTGAGTGCATTCTGTTCAGTACAAAAATCGATGATTATATAGCCAAGACTATGGTGAAGAATCAGTAACAAGTCTGTGTGAAATATGTCTGACGACGCTTGTCGCTCTTATGGTCTCAGCAAGATGAACATTCCAAGTCCATTGAAGTGACATTTGATGGCCCAAAGAATCTGTCTATTTCTACTTGGTCATTACAGCACGGATGATAGAGAAATTCTAGTTGAACTGATCTTGAAAAGTTTACAAACCTCCCCCAGAACTTCGCCGTCCATATTCCTCCCTGGAACTGTGTGTTCAAATGGTGATCCAAAGCGGGAACTTTACTAACCAACTACACACGAGAAACGGTTTCTGCATTCTGGTGAATTAAGGGAAAATACACAACTCACTTGATGAGTTGGTCCATTACCACTAAAACATCTATGTTTCCACTTTCGGTTATCTGTAAAAAGCAAAGTATGTCAACATGAACTCTTATCTTTGGTTCCTCCGCGTAAAATATTTCTAGTAACGCTGTTATTTTCTTGGACGAATCTTTCTTGAAATGACAGACCTGCAGTCTGCTTTTGTAACGTGCAGCCTAGCTTTGCACACGGTGGGTAAGTCTCTGATTCCTTGCAGAGATACTAGCTAACAAATGCCGATATATACATACAGCGTGGAACAGCAAACTCTACCTGAGTTAACAATAAAACTAACGAACGAACTAGTATTCATATGGACTGCTGTCCCGACACAGACTGTTCTGACTAGCATGTGAGCGTGAGTGCAAACTCGACACCCAGTGACTTCACCTAATCCTAGTTCCAACTACTGAACTAGTCGCCGAGCAATATCACTTAGTCGGTCCTGACTAAGCACTAGGTTGTCCCACCAACTAAGTCAACCCTTGCTCGTGTTCCTAGCTCGGGTTCTAAAATAAACCTATAGCTAGCTACCCACAGTCAAAAGTCCAAGCTTCGGTGAGAACTAAACAGCTCTCGCACCAGCTTGACAAGCGGTTTCGGAAAAGCCACTATTTCAGACTTTCACCCACCACCTGTTACAAAAGACTGTGTTACGTGCTTAGTAAGAAGTCTTTCGTCGTCTGTGTATCTCTGAAAGCTTCACCAACAGTCAGTATAACAGCGCTCACAATCATTCAGTAATTTCTATTTACATGTATAATAAACTCTTTCATTAGGTGTGACAATCGTTGGTATTTAATTTTCCATAAACGATGCATACTAAAATATTAACATAGTACATACCTTTCCATATCCTACTACATAATTATAAACATTTGTATTTATCGACAAAAATCATTAGATGAACAAATTAACCAATATGTAATCAGCTATAATCATATTCAAGGGACATAACTCTTATACTTCAATTTCCTTTACACAAATCATATTCAAGGGACATAACTCTTATACTTCAATTTCCATTACACTTTCGTGTCGTGCCATATGACACTCCTCGTCGCCAATATATTGATATATAGCAATGAAAATACATACATATATAAAATGCCGTTTTCGACAATCATAGGCTATGGTTAAGTTGTTACAGCATAGAACACATCCTACTGTATCCACTTCACCTCCGGGACGAGCTGACTTAAACCTTTATACTAGGGGAAGGTCAGATCGTCATCTCGTCTCCTACAATCACAACAGAATCGATATTTCAATGATCAATTACACGAAGTCACAGTAATATTGCTAAGTCATATTTAAAGACAGATTCATTATTACATATCAATAAATTATATTAAATGTCTCACTTTTCCCAGAAATACCTTACAAGAACATTTCTATTTTGGTATACATTTATAAAAATGATATACTTAATAACTGCAGTTTGAATAATAAATACAGAAATATGATTAATTACTGATAAATGTGAAGTTGGGAGTAATATTACTTTGATTTTGGTACCTAAACAACTATATATTTCTAAACCATGACACTTAATTTAAATTTTTGTAGTACATATGACCAGATTTTGACCTTACTGCTGAGACACTGGAGGCAAGGCTGGAGGATTGGTGGAAGCATTTTTATCTATTTAAACAATGTATACAAGAGAACAATCGAAATAAGTCGGGTCTCTATTGGAATAGCACGCCACGAAGAAAACTAGAAAGAATAGCTGCTGAATATTAGCGGGTTTTTAAAATCAGTTAACATGACAGACCATTAAACACTTCACAATATTAAGCCATACGCCTTATACTTTGTTTCATCTTTTCTTGCAATTATTTAAAACAAGACTGTTCAATATGGAAAAAGGTTGAATGTTTTTAGCTAGATTTGTTAGAGTTATCAGATTCTCAATATTTTGTTTACACTAAAGCTTAGACGTAGCATGTCAACAGGTCGGTTTACCTGCATACAATGCACGTTTAGAGAGCAGTGTTTATTACACTTTCACGTATAGCTGCCAGAAAGGACTGTTCATTAATGTATAGAGATATGTTTTTGAAAACTAAAAGATGATCATTGATAAAATTTGGCCAGCATTGGTATATATCAACTGTTTATAATACTAGACCGAAAAGTCCTGGTCTGTTTGATTTATTCAGCTTGTGTTTAAGTTAAATCCTTGTATAAGACATACATGTGTATCCTGCTATAAGAAAATAATGTTAAGAATATACATCACACATACTAGGACCAAACACATAGCTTGTCAACAGGAAAACAGAAGATCACTTTTGTGACATTTGTTGTACTGCTTATAAAAACAGTTGTCTGTTTGATTTGCCGGTCATACGCATTACGAAATAAGATTATCGTTTTTACTTTAAAAAATCTTTTTTTTTTTTTTGAGATGGTTATTCGTTGAAATAACATTGACTCATCAGGACATATATTATTCATCGTTTCTAGGTAAAATCCAGGAAATATCTGTCAGAAAAATCTAGAAAATTAATTAATTACCTGGAAATCCGTATGGAAATTTGTTGTTTGAAGTCTATTACTATGAGAAACTAGAATTCTCTACGACTACGCACAATGATGGCCGGTTCATGCCGTTCGTCCTCGTGGATGAAAATGACTCTTCTGGTCAGTAGTTTCGGCCTCCATTTTGTTAGTTAAGGCATGATACATTCGTTCAGTGTTATGTACAGTGGCTTACGAGATCAACTAGGGTCTGGATCAACAGAAACCAGTTGGATCGTTTCCCTTAGCTCAGGCCTGATGCTCTTGTTTGGTGAGTATTCTATTCAGTGTTAAGGTAATAATGATGTAAAGTCAGAATTATATCCATTCAGGTAAGCGTATATCATCTTTACTTATCGTCACAATGTTATCACCATGAATCGGTTATCATATTAGTAAGTGATTTGTGCAAGGATGAAAAATAATGTCAGGCTATATGTTTATTAAGCTGAAAAGTCATATTCACTGTTTAACCACTCTGGTACCTTCACATTATTTCAAATAATCATAAAAGCAAGGATCTGTAAGCTTGAATTATGTTCGGTATCCTGAAATATTAACACCTAGTTGGCTTTTAAGATAACAAATGACATGTCGACATAAAACGTCATAAACACTATATAGTCACTGGTATTAACATTTGTGAAAAATTAAGCACTTTTTTACTATAAAAGTTTTAACTAACGTCCGTTACCGTTATCACTATATCGTCTAAACTCTGGTTAAAGGTTCCCTGGTTGTGGAAAATGACATTTAAAAGAGGAAGGTCACCCTAAGACTATTGAAACGCCATTTCATATTATAGTAGAATTTCTCAAAACCGATCATGTATGGGACTTTTTTCGTCGCTTTAGGGAGGGTTCGGCTTGTAGAAGTGAAGCAGGTTGACTGGTCGGGACTCAGATATACAGTTTGTTTATCAACACTTTGTAACTGTCTAAAACATAACGACATTATTCAATATTCTGTTAACATATACTGATAATAAAATCGTCACAGATGGCTGTACAAGTAACGACCACAACAAATGGCTAGGCTAAGTAAGCCAACTAACCTATTCACTAACTATCGTCTCAATGGCTTACCACTGTGGTAACTGGCGAGACATTTGTATTAGATTTGGAGGTCATCGTGCCAGGCGCTATTGTTAGTATGACCTGATCCATTATCACGTGGTTGCAAAAACACCTCAGTATTGGTACTAGTGAATCAGTGAACTGTAGATTGGATATATATATATATCTAGCGGACGTATAATATTGGTACGGAGACGAGTTGGCTCATCGAATACACACGATGACAACAGGTTTCTGTCGTTCGTCCTTCTGGGTGAAAACGTCTATTCTCGTCAGTAGTTTCGGCCTCCATCTTATAAGTTTGGGTATGGTAACATCGTTCGGTGTTATGTATAGTGGATTACGAGATCAGCTAAACTCTGGCGCTGCAGAAACCAGCTGGATAGCTTCCCTTAGCTCAGGACTGTTTCTCATGTTTGGTGAGTGCATTCTGCTTAGTATAAAGGTATAAATGGTGTCAAGGCAGAATTATATAGCCAGTGAGGTAAGTGAACATTAATTTACCTATTCGTCTGATTTTTTCAACATATTAAAGAAATGATAAGAAATAAAATCTACACAAAGTCAAGTATCTCTCTTTTTTGTAAAGTTTTAATTTAGCTAAATGAAATATTGAAACATGAAAAATCCTATTGAACTTCTGAAAGAATAGGATGTTGCGCAATCTTGACTCCTAGATTTGACACTCTGTGAATTAAGATAATATTGATTTTTTGAATTTTCGTACGTAAGCACAAAGGGCAAAACAAATTTTAAAAAAGCATATTTTACAAAAGGTCAATGCAATCAACGTGTTTTAATGCAAATGTATACTATGTGAAGTAAAATCAGAAAATGAAGTATGCTATACCTTGTAGGTTGGCCTATATTTTAAGCCATGAGGATATAAAAGCATTTTGTTTATTATACTATGTATGCACATTCAAAGCTTTCGACCAAATAGTGTTTAATATTCAATTGTGGAATATTTTGAAATTATAAAAAATCCATTTTAAAAAATGCGTAATCCTCCCTCACCTACAAACACAAACTTATATTATAAGATTAGAATTACATTGCACACGCTTGTTAGCCTTTACAATCACATATACCAGGAAACAGTCTAAGTTTGTTAACAGCGGAACCGTTTTCCCTGTTGGCTTTGCAACCTGTATCACATCATCAAATAAACAGTGATAGATACCATCATATTTGTTGAGAAAATTACAAACACCACCAGTGATGTTGATTTGACAAAGAGCACTGCCATCCTCATTCAACATAGCGATGGTCACCATCATCCCTGTGGATGTGACAACAGGAATCACCACAAAAACTGTCATCGAAGCGCTTCTAACCAAAACGGACATCAATTATTCTGATGTAATAAATCTCCATAAACAAGCGTTGTTCACCGTTCTCGTTTAGATAATAAGGAAACAAACATATAATGATTAGTTCTTTTATCATTTTGAATATCGACATCGTAGTTAACCATTATTTTCCCTCTACTGGTTTCCTTTCAATTGCTTTAGATGATGATGACTTGTTGTAGGAATAACAAAAAAATATTAACCACGGCCGTCATATTTACCCACCAGAACTGGAAATCAAGCACACGATATACTCTTCTACATCAGCCGCTTATTTCGATCTTTTCCTACAACAATAACCATCATGGACAACTTTCCACCAAGCTGCATGATAAGTGTGACGATTTCAAATTGCAACATTACTGCACTCTCAACCTGCATTGTTTTCATTTGATTCGACATCCAAGGGCTTATTTCCAATATCACTATTTTCTTGCATGATTAAGTCAACGTAATAAAGGTTTCAATTGATACAGGTTGATGACCAATATGAAAAGTTCTACGTTCGTAATAATGACCTCAATGAGAAATAGTTTACTTATTAAACGTAAAATGTCGTGATCAGCAAGCAGTTGTTTTAATTTAGATAAGTGTGAACAAACTGGATTAGGAAACAAAATAATTCAATATGATAGTACTGTTAATGCAAATCTTGGTCATTTCAGCCCTTAGGTCGTGTTGACAATGACCATTAAATTGAAGTTTTCAAAGGTGAGATAAAAATTATACTCCCGTGACGCTGCGTACACAGTTCGGGGTTTCTCACTTCCTACACATGATAACCATACGCTCCTTTCACCTGTATCCATGGGCAGACATTGCTATTCTCAGCGGCAGCTTTGATCTGCACGTTGTAACTATAGGAATGTTGAAGTCTTTCGGTGTGACGTACACTGCCTACCGACACCACCTAGTGTCTGGTGTAGCAGAAACCAGTTGGATTACCTCCCTTTGCTGCTGTCTTGCATTTGGTAAGTCAACCAAACGGTCAAATAATTACGGTATATTCATATCGATAAATCAAAATCCTGAAGATCTTCCAAAGCTGAGCCAACCCACTGCTGTTTTGAATTTCAACCCCCAATAACCCTTTTTGGATCGTCTATCGTTTTGGATTTATTTATGGTCATGCTAGGCGGACCTATTGAATAAGTACGAGTGACAGGATAGTTTCCAATCCGACATGTTATCCAATCAGTCAACTGATGCGACAAACTAGGAAAAGAAATTCGCACGTAATCCTATTGCCTGATTTAAGTAACTGTAAACAAACTGACACACTATGACAAACAAAATACAAGCTGTATGCACGACTGCGCACTGACTCGATATCACACAAAGATGACATATTCGCGAAAACAAGGTTCTGTGAACATGTACAAGGAAATTAAGACCATGTATTCCGGAAGGTTAAGCATCGTTTATTTATCAATGACATCCACAAAGTTGATACAAAAGAAAGCATCTTTAATCAAATACAATATAACTAGCTTTAAACTCAGGAGAAGCAGATTAATTAAGAAGTAAAATCGATGGGAGAACAAATGGAACTACTTACTAAAACAATATATATATATAGATATGTATAAATAAATGTATATGATGTAACTATTGTAATTCATGTCAGATATAACGACATATTTACAAAAACAATATAATGAAACTGGTACAAAGGTGAACTAATTCTGTGACCCGTTACATATACATAGTAGTGACACGTGTTACAATATTAACGTGTGAGGCAGTGTTCTCATAGTGTTTACTTTAGTTCATTCTTGATTTCTCAAAGGCTCCATATAATGGTACGTGCATGTTGCCGTCGTTCGTGTCCTTGGACAGAAATTATCATTCTCGTCAGCAGCTTTAGTCTGTACTTTGTATCCGTGGGGATGGTTTTATCTTTCGGTGTTATGTACAGTGAATTACGACATCAACTAGGTTATGGTGCAGCAGAAATCGGCTGGTTAATATCCCTTAGCTCCGGACTGCTTTTAGCATTTGGTAAGTCTACTCAAAAATGGGTTTCTGGTTATTGTCGCGCAGTTCCGCTACCTAAAGAAAGTGCATGAAAGTGTATACTTCATGTGGCCATACTGCTGTAGCATTTCTATCAAAATACCACAGTAAAATCATACAATGCCGACTGATCTACATCAGTGTGCTTTTCTGAATATCGTAATAGAAGTACAGGATTATGACTAATGAGCCACTGTTTTTCCCATATTACTTGGATAAGATTATTGACATGAATGCACCTTAATTTCACATCATATTCAGTAAGATAACGTGTGTGCCGAAGGTACTACCTAACTTGGGGGCTTTTTTCGGAGACGGAGTATTAACTTATTAGAACGTGAGATGATTTGTATTTTTGCTTTAGATTAAATAAAGCCTAAACATGTCCCGGTTATATTGGACAGCAATAGAATTAAGATATCTTAATTTGTATCAAATTTGATGACAGCTATTGATTTTGTCTGCTACGAGATTATAAACGTTCACATGTAATTAATATTTAGAATACAGCTTGAACTAATTATAAATTGCATGTAAATCATCATTTCTGAATCGCAAATGGTATACTTAAATATCGATGTCTATAGAGGAAATAAATTAATATCAATGTTAGTGAGCCTGACGTCAACCTGTTGAATCACCTTGAATGACAGCTCAAGGTCATCCTTCAAATAGAATTGGATATTGTCATATGAAATTGGCTAGGTATACATTGACATCGCAATAGTTATCATAAATCATACATAACCAGATTGATGGATTTGTAAATTTGTGAGCACAGTATCAATCACCTTGATATCGTTTCTGTACTTGTGATGTCGTATCTAAGGTTGATTCTAACCGAAAACACGTGTCAAAAACTCAAATTCAATAACAATCAGGCAAAATATGAACAAAGGAACGATTAAATTGGAAATTCCAAATAAAAGTACGTGGAAAATATGAGCTGGTGTTATGGAAGAGTAAGCGTCTTCTGCTTCATCTATAACATTTGCCATATGTAATTTTTTGTCAAATCAAGTAAGTAATGTCACGTTCTCAAATGAGAACTAGGTATAAAACTACAGAACCAAAAGGCAAGCTAACGAGCATCAAATACGTCCAGATTAATATCGCACAATTTCTCGATGAGATCACTATGACGACCGTAAAACTCATAATATCCGTCAGTCTTCATCTTTTACCAGTTGTGAAATCAATTATATTGAAATCCTATAAATCCAAGATTGATATAATTGATTTCATAGAATCAATGTAATTCATAAATAAAGGATGTCAACATAGGAGGGGATGGTTTGTTTTGCTTTGAAAAAGGTGCCATATCTGTAAAAGCTAGTCTCAGAAATGGACGTATTCGAAACGGGGGAGAAGAAAAAAGTGTTTTAAAGCAATTTAGGGCAAGTTATTACATCAATACATACTGGTGTACCGTGGACTCTAAAACACCATTTCAGTTTAGCTAGCATAAATATAAAAAGAGGTCATGTGATCACGGTACTTGTCACAATCTACGTTTATTTTGATTTGTATGTGGGAGTTGAATGATATTGTTATATCACAGCTATGTATGCACAATATCACGTTGTAAAATAAAAGCAAAGCATATACAAAACCAACCATGTGACGAAAAATAAAAAAACGAAAGATAAACACGGAATATTGGAAAAAAGCAGGAGATTCAGACACTGCTTCTTAGGTGAACTCCGCCATGCTATTAATCCCAGTCCCCAAAAGGGGACATGTCGCATTTAATAAGACTTAGATAAAAAAATATTGACACTGAACATACGCTCAAATACGTCTAAATAGTGACGGTGAACACAGACTCAAACACAGACTCAAATACGTCTAAATATTGAAACGAAACACAGACTCAAACGCTGACTCAAATACGTCTAAATATTGACGAAACACAGACTCAAACACAGATTCAGATACGTTTAAAAATTTTTTGGTTTCCTCTTTGAGAATACCGCATTAAAAAATTCCGGTTTCAATTGTTTGGACATTACACGCTTAGGCGAGAATACTCGACATCTGATGGAATAGCCGAACAGCTGACTCCAATTTGGCGGGAACAATTGTCATACACTAGACGTAAGCAAATATAGTTCCACAATATCGCATCATTTATTTGAATTATTTCCTATCTAAATTTACAACATTTTTTTCCTTTTATCATTATACTTATATTTATTCATCATATTTAATTTAATAAAGATTTATTAAATGTTAGAACTTTGAAGAAAAAAATCACTGCGCATTGACATTAATTGCGTAAGAGTGTTACAGTGATGCGGCTACTTTGAAGGGGAAGATCACGGTTACCAATAATGTATTCATACGCGTAAGGTTTACCGAAGTGTAAACGTCAATTTCGTTGGTATGTCTATATAGAGGATACACGCCGGAAATGTAAATATTTAAAATTAAAGAAAAAAAATGGTCTTGTCATGCTGAAGCGGACAATTTGGGGCTTCATTTTTTTCAGAATGATATTTTAGCTTTGTGTTACTATTTGGGCAGTCTCGAATCTGTATACGCACCAGGAAGTGAAATTATATAGTGTTTACACTTGGTAATGCTGTTAAGGATTTTCGGGTTGGAATTTGCTGAAATGTAAGTAGTTTGTTACCATGACAGTGTATTTGATTTTAAGACAGGGGTTCAGAAATAAGTGTCTTCTACAAAGCTGTAGTGTTATGTTGGAATTAGCAGTTTTTTTTTTTTCGCATTTTAGCATTTTTTCAGTTGGTAACCATGGCACTCACATTCATGTAATTTTTATGTTGATTATAAACATATATACATGTAATGATGTATTTTCCATAACCAACCTGCTATACCTGTATATCTCAATTTCAGGGAAAATGCAAGTTAACTGTTTCCTTCTACCCTAGTCCAATTCCATACAAATGCAAATTAATTTTTGGGACCAGAATCACCTTACTTATATGGAATGACTGATAATTAAATTAATCAATTAATAAATGTACATTTATTAAAGGCAAATATAATCCTTGATACAAAGAATGTGATGAGCCGTTCACCGTTAAACCTTTTTTTATTGGACTGCACTGACCTTCTTTCTACTCGAAAATTTTTCATCGTAACGTTTCAAGTTTAAAGACCCTTATTGAAACTGTTGAGAGTTACAAAACTCTACGTAAAATGCTGATCTATATGATAGACTATGACTTACCATTTTTTGTGTTAACATACCCATTTAAGATTTTTGACATTTGTCTTTTACCTTTTAGTTTGTTTGAAGTTTTTTTTTCCTTTTTGGATCGGTGTGTGTTTCACCGATTAATGACCCTAATGACCTTTTCTGTGCTGACTGGCCGTTAAGATAATAATTATAATGATGATATTGTATCTAGTTGAAACATTAGCTAATCAATCTGATGTCGATTTGTGACAGAGGTATATAACAACAAGATATCCATTTTATATTAAGTTGTAGATGTGCTCGATAATTCAATTATTAAAATCCATGTCTTACATATGTACCAGTGTATACGTAGACTGGATGGAATAGGGGACAGATAGAGTGTCGGACAGCAGCTTATATACACATGGTATATACATATATATTGAATTCACATGTATCTTATCAGATCTTACCATGTTATTTCCTTATCTCTACCACCCTCTCTCATTCCTGTTTTCTTCTGTAATTATGTAAGCTGTAATATTCACTCTTCATTCATAATTTATATATTTTGTTGTCTTCACGTGACTCCTATGTAAAATATTTCTGTAAGTATTTAGGAAAGGTCTAACTGGGTTGATATAGCTCGTGTCCAATAATGAAATATGTATTAAATATGGCAAAAGAATTAAATGAAATTAATTTTTGATTTGAATTACACTGTATGTCATGCTGGGAAGAGAGAGTTCTCCTTTGTGAGATTATGATTTTCATATGAAAGCTGATCCCAGGAAAAAAGCCTTGGCAGCTTTCCAATAGTATATGTATATACCTAAACAATGAGGTGTCGTTTCCTACAGGACCTGTTGCTGGTATACTGGAGAAAAGGTTTGGCTGCCGTTTGGTAGCTATGACGGGGTCGGCCCTAATAGGTGTGGGAATGCTAGCCAGTGCCTTTGTTCCCACCCTTTTCTGGCTTTATCTCACCTATGGAGTGATCACAGGTAAACTCTATTATTTATTATATTAGCAATAGTAACAGATGGTTTTTTGTTATTTTTCTCTCCGGTTTTTTTTCTGCATATAAAAGAAATAATGTAAAATTAAAGCGTAATGTGCTTCTTTAGCTCTCGCCCAGCGGTTTGTTTAATATAATTGGCTTTACCACTGTGAAGTGCAATAAGGTATCATGATATTTTACCCGTTTCCATTATTTTCATATCGATTTTCGCTTAATGATTCTATTTATTAATGGGAGGGGGATTCTGGCACGTTATGACAACACACACATTACATCAATGTCAATAATGGCATACATATCTGTGTGTTTTGTAAGGAAGCATCACCGTACGTATAGCACGTGCAGTACAACTGACAGGAATGCTTTAATTTCCTTTAGAGAGTTACCACTACTGGTGGTATATATCTAATACAATAATCTAACGTTATATTAACCTTTACAGGAGTTGGGTTTGGTATGGCACATTTAGTGGCAAACGTTATAGTGAATCTGAAATTTAACAAACGTCGTTCGATGGCGATAGCAGTAGCTTCTGCCGGAGGTGGGTGTGGCAATATCGTGATACCCTGGCTCACGACCATATGGCTAGAAGTCTATGGATGGCGACAGACATTCCTCCTGTTGGCTGGTATTGGATTACAAGGAATCGTTTTCGGTGCCATCATATTTAAGGTCAGCACAAGTAATGGTTAGTGTTCCTCGAAAACGATCACAAACGCAGGGATTCGTTTCATCTAAAAACATCTCCGATACTCCAGAGGTTACAGTCAATTACGCTCCATGTACTCCTGGAACATGGAACATTTGAAAGTTCCATGTGTGACACTTTGTGGGCAAAACGAAAAGACTAGTTTGATCATTTTACATCAAACGAATCTCGAGGTTGCATTGCGGTATATTGTAATGGCTTTGAAGTAGGGCGTCTCTCCTTCGTAGTATTCAAAAGGAGTGTATCAGCCTGTGCTTGGCCAGTTTTTTCCTGTTAGAGCCAATCAAATTACTTCGCTTGTGCCTTTAATTTTGACGTGACATATTCCAGGGGTGTTGAGAGCGAAATTGATTGTAACCCCTAGAGTATCGAAAATGTTTTTGGATGAAATGAAAACTCTCAAGACGTTCGGATGAGGACTTGGTTAGACCTCTGATAAGGTAATTTGAATAACTGGTTTGTGCTGCCTTCCATGGAAATGGAAGTTTATCTCAGAATTGAATGTTGTGTTACCGGTAACCCCCACCAACAGATGTCTTGTTTTTTTGTTGTTTTTTTTTTTTTTTTTTACTTTTTTCCTCTGGGTTTTATGATCTGTCAATTTTACGAAATGATCTGTGTTTTCAATTTTCATTGGTGAGAAATAGCACTTTTATCAATGTAATATTTCTCTATATTTCACTGGTAAAACTGTGATAAATATATCTTACAGGAATTGGAAGAATTTTGTAGCGTCAATGTTTCTTGGTCGGAATAGCCAAAAACACTTATATATGTCTATGTTATATAAATGTCATTTCTATCGGCTTAAAATGCCATCATAAAGTCTGGTTCATGGTTTAATAATATACATCGACACTCAAAGCCGAGACATGACCATGTACGAGATGTAACATAGACTAATTAGAGACTGGCGTATCGAATATTAGAGACTGTAAAACTTTCTGGACACTTGTTAAAATAATTCATATTCATCACAGATTCCGGTGGAAGCCATCGAACTGATCACAGTTCAGATGGCCCGTCAATCAGAGCGGAAGTATCGACAATATTGAAGACAAAAATGTTCCTGGTATTCTCCGTATCCGGCTTCTGTACAGCCATGGCTTACTTTGTTCCTTATGTCATGATTCCTGAGCTGGCGAAGGTAAAGGGCGTGTCGACAACAGATGTAGCGCTGGTATTTTCTGTATCCGGAGTTTCCAGTGAGTCTAATAAGTATTATATGTCGGAAACATTTTAGGGAAAATTTAATGTTATGCATAATATATGTATGGGTTGGCGGAAGTTCTGGTGATGAAATTATTATCTCTTGTAGGGTTTATAAACGAGGAAGAATGCTTGTTTCACTGTGACTATACATACGTACTTGTTTGATTCGATATCATATGTCGATTTGATATTGACGGAACATAAATGTTATATTAGTGAGATCATGTTTGTATATAATTATGTATGGCAAGGATCGGGAAAGACTACAAGCGTCTGGATATGACTTTTAACGAAATTCAAATATACCGGTACCAAGGTGGGGCCCCATTGGAGGTATTCGTTCTAAGTGTAAAAATACGACGGTACTGGTGTTACTGTAAGAATAGCAACTGTGATGATAAACATAGTCTTCATAATAAACAGTGCAATATATATTAATGTGTACAGACAAAGTATCAATTCCTGTGCATTTCTGCACAATGAGTTTTTTTTTCCTTTTCGGATTGTATTTACCTCCTTGGGGCCCCACTAATTTAGCGCCCGCGATTGACATAGATAATTCTCGCACGACAAAGCCAAAACAAAACGAATTATTAAGATTGATTGTTAGAAACTATATATTATAACACTATAGAATCATTTATTGCAAACAAGAATTAGCAGAAAGGCGCAAAAGCAAGTGTCCTATATAAGACATGCGCGTTTGTTTACCTCGTAATCCATTTTTTCTTTGCGGCGGATGTGAATAACTTCGCACGTAACAAGCCATGTGACCCATCCGGCTTTCTTTGTAATAAATCGAGCGTGAACATGTTTATAAACAAAAGGCAAGATAAACAATGTTCCGACACCGAAAATATGTACAAATACAACAAATTTGACGTTAAAGGTGCGTGTGTCGCTTTATTATGGATATATTTTATTATTCATAAGCCGAATTCTCCATTTCCCGATGTTGAAATCTAAGTTAATAACCACTTTAAACCTGATTCATTGTAGTGATGAAAGCATCTCAAGGATTGTTTGTAAAATATATCCCTGTTGAATAAACGTGAAACGCTTCGTTTACTATATCGAATATTAACTTTATGGCTTTCACGAAAAACAAACCGAATAAGGCATCTACTACCGATAAATTAGGTCTAGATGTTGGATTTATCTCCCTTGAACCACAGCCACTTAGCCTGTACTCGTGTATTCACTAGCAGATATTTTACTGGATAGGACCACAGTATGCTGAATTGAGTAATAAATCACAATGTAGAATCATCTTTTATAATGTCTGAATCTTGTGTTGTTACAAAGGAGAAATAGAGGTAACACGAAAGCTATTTCTTACACTCTAGTTAGTAAGGTAAAGAAATACACCATACACGGACTATAGGATTGCGGGACTTGTTTTTTTACCTCTATAAAAGAGTTACTCAGATGGACAAATTCTACCTCCGAGTGTGTTTTGTTTACAATATCGGTGAGAGCGTAAAAGTATTTGTAAATATTACAATTCATAACGGGTTTAAAACAATGAATTGATATATGTAAGTCAAATTATTACAAAAACGTGAACCAATTTTTGCTCGTTGAATTCCCACGAGTGCGTGAAGCACACTTCTGGTCAAACTGAATTGTGTGTACTGTTTAGCCCATGTGTGTTGTAGATGTTATAATAGTAGTTGTGGAGAGGAAATGGACGAACTGGTTAGAAATCGTTATTTTTTCGATGCATTTGATTTCGGGCAAGCGTTGTGATATTTAAAATAAGACTTTTCACAAAATTATAGCATCTTTTTTTTAAATGATAACGACTATCAACTTCTTACTAACACTGGTTGACACTCGCTGTTGGTCGGAGATATCTAAGTTCGTCACGTGACATTCCAGAACTTCGTTTTAACCCGCCCCCGCCGCTTTGTTGTGTTTCTAAATTTTCCGGCATCGCGCTTGCGCACAGACATTGTTTGCACTCTCCGAACGATAATGATATGAATTAGTGTTAGGTCGCTCCTATTTTATTCTAATTCTTTAACGTGTTTAATCAAATTGTTGTACAAACTTATAAATATAATAATAAACAAAAAGAATACTATTCTTAACAGATATCTAAATGTTATAATGCTTTTATCAGTTATGGATCGAACATCTAACAATTTAGTCGCTTTAACTGGTGACTTAAGAGTTGATTAACGCCCGCCTCCTGTGGTTATGATTGAAAAGTAACATTGCAATGCTTTCAGACAATGTCCTCTATTTACTGTAGGTATTGTTGGTAGAATTCTAGTCGGGTTTATCATCGACGTCTTACACATCGATAGAATATGGACGCTCTCTATCGCCCTGATGACTGGCGGGATCTCCACCATTGGCTATGCATTCGTATATAACAAGTGGCTTTTCATCGCATATGGTGCCATACTAGGAATATTTACAGGTGATTAGTAAAATGTATACCTAGGTTATGTGTACCTTTGATAACTAGAATAACAACTTTACAGCATCTTATTGTAATATAGCAAATGAAAGTACCATAAAGTAATTGAATAGTATTTTACAGTTTTATAACCAATCTGTAACACTTCATGACTGATTTTAAAGAAGAAGAGGATTAACTGCTATGATTGTTCACCACAGGAACATTTGGTTTTCTCCAGTCCGTTATTGTTGTCGATCTTCTCGGGACAGAATTATTAGGAATCGGATTCGGATTCTTGACACTATTCCACGGGATAGCTGTCATCATTGGTCCGCCCCTTGCTGGTAAGTTATTAGTAATAATACGTAAAGTAGTCTAAAACTTATTTTGATAATAATTCATATCATAGTAACGGACAATAACTCAAATTAATGTAATTTACAGTATTATATCATAGTAACGGACAATAACTCAAATTAATGTAATTTACAGTATTATATCATAGTAACGGACAATAACTCAAATTAATGTAATTTACAGTATTATATCATAGTAACGGACAATAACTCAAATTAATGTAATTTACAGTATTATATCATAGTAACGGACAATAACTCAAATTAATGTAATTTACAGTATTATATCAGAGTAACGGACAATAACTCAAATTAATATAATTTACAGTATTATATCATAGTAACGGACAATATCTCAAATTAATGTAATTTACAGTATTATATCATAGTAACGGACAATAACTCAAATTAATGTAATTTACAGTATTATATCATAGTAACGGACAATAACTCAAATTAATGTAATTTACAGTATTATATCATAGTAACGGACAATAACTCAAATTAATGTAATTTACAGTATTATACCATAGTAACGGACAATAACTCAAATTAATATAATTTACAGTATTATATCATAGTAACGGACAATAACTCAAATTAATGTAATTTACAGTATTATATCATAGTAACGGACAATAACTCAAATTAATGTAATTTACAGTATTATATCATAGTAACGGACAATAACTCAAATTAATGTAATTTACAGTATTATATCATAGTAACGGACAATAACTCAAATTAATGTAATTTACAGTATTATATCATAGTAACGGACAATAACTCAAATTAATGTAATTTACAGTATTATATCATAGTAACGGACAATAACTCAAATTAATGTAATTTACAGTATTATATCATAGTAACGGACAATATCTCAAATTAATGTAATGTACAGTATTATATCATAGTAACGGACAATAACTCAAATTAATGTAATTTACAGTATTATATCATAGTAACGGACAATAACTCAAATTAATGTAATTTACAGTATTATATCATAGTAACGGACAATAACTCAAATTAATGTAATTTACAGTATTATATCATAGTAACGGACAATAACTCAAATTAATGTAATTTACAGTATTATATCATAGTAACGGACAATAACTCAAATTAATGTAATTTACAGTATTATATCATAGTAACGGACAATAACTCAAATTAATGTAATTTACAGTATTATATCATAGTAACGGACAATAACTCAAATTAATGTAATTTACAGTATTATATTACAGAAATGGATAATAATTCATATTTTGATAAAAGGGGATAATTCAGATTATAGTAATTTACAAGAATCTATTAATTGTACCTTGACTGAAATCTGGATATGTGTTGTTTTTTTTTTTTTTTTTTTTTTTTTTTTTGTTTTTTGGTTTTTTTTTGTATTTTACCTCTATTTGCTTAAAGAAGTAGTGTTGTCAAAAACATTATCAATAATATGTTGATATAGTTTACCTCTAGAAATGTTACTAATATCAGATAATATTCACTGATGATAAAAATCGTAAAATGTTTAATCAAGCTGAACACTGTTTTCTCACTACAATCTGTATTCCATGAATATTCTAATCCTAATTGTTTGAAATTCAATATCCATCTATTATCAGATGCTACCCTTTCATCAAAACATGATTTAAAAAAAAATCAATTATATGCTTTAACCAATATTTAAGTATTCATGTTAAATTGATTGTTGTCTTAACTTGTAATATACTCAACTGTTACATGGTGTTTTCTTTATACTCCGGAGTCTTTTGTAAACATTAATATGCGCCTTTTCTACATCTAAAGCTTTATAAATGCACAAATGTCCGAGCCATAGATTCAAATGCTGTCTACAAAAGTGTCGAAAACAGATATCAAATATAAGTTAAACACAAAAATGTAAAATCCCGTTTGAATTGACATTGTCTATGTAATGTCATGTTTAAGTTGGACATGACATGGATATATTGACAGCTTCTATGTGGTAACAATGGTAAGTTGGGGATAAAATAAAGAAGTAAAATCACAAATAAACAGGACAGTGGGGTTTTTTATTTACAAAGGTAAATCAATTATGTATAAAAATATTTAATATTGTACAAAGGTTGGCCATGTCAATAAATTTTCAATGCTTGGCAAGGCTGGGTACTTTCAAAGGTAACTTAATCGCACCTGTTATCAAACGTAAGTGAACCACGTACATGTATTGAACTTTGTACAAAAGACACTTTTCAATAAAAATTCAGAATTTGATACAATGAATTAAAGTATATCATACAGTTGTTTCTCAGGTCACTGTTACACGTAAATTGGCCAGGTTTGTCAATATCAAATGTTGAACGCGTCTGTGTACTATGAGAGGGAAGTTACCTGCCTCACAGAACTAGAAGCTGTACAGAGTATACAAAATAACGAGACACGTGTTTGATAGATGTTTATCCAGGATACGGAATTTTAATTCCTTAAAATATAATTCGTTCGTTTTAAATGAAAATAATTTTGACCCGTGAAAACTATCCGCTATATGGTATGTTGATTTCAATACATTATTAAGGATAACAATGTTTTTTCCAGGTTGGATATCAGACGTTACAAACGACTACACAGTGCCTTTTATCTACGCAGGCTGTTTATTTTGTCTCGCGTCATTCCTAGCGTGTGTAATTAAGATACGAGACTACTGTAATTTTTCAAAATGCGATGATCATGTATCGTCACGCTTCGACGATATCCCTGTTAATAATGGAAGTTATACTAACAGTAACTTTGTATTTGATACAAAACTATAGCAGTGGGTCCGAGGCGGTAATTCTAATGTATATATATGATTCATTTATTCGTTTTATAAGAATTATTTTGCAACCATTGGATTAAAAAAATCGACTATTTGATATTAAAACACAGAATATTGGCCTATTAAAAGAACTGCCTTCAGAATTCATCATACGATCGGATCACACCCAAAAAGGAAAATTATACACGGAAACTGCCTAAAAAACAACGAGAAGAATAAGGACAGAAAGATCAACGTCTTGTGCTTCATCATCGGTACCCTGTGTGTAAATCTAGGTCAATCTATGTAAGATTTGTCGCGTTCTCATCTGACAACAAGGTTAGCAATAATGGAACCACAAAGCATACTAACGAGTATCGACCATATTAAATCTCATGCCTTCAAGTAAAACAGAATAATGATGTGCTAATAAGATCAAGGATGCTATACTATCAAGGATTTATGTAAAAGAGTCTTAATTCTTAATTTATGACGAGCATATCCGATTGTCAGAGAAAACATACATTATGTTATTTGTAATCCAGGAGAGGGCAGAGTAAACATATATTTGAAGGTCTTACAAACCCATCACAAGAGAAGAAAACCGGAACGTTTGTATTTATTAAAAAATTGGTCTTTCAGCAACCCCAGCTAATACAAATTTCGCTAACCATGACTTAATGATAAATATATTGGTAGCGGGAGCATTGAAGTCAGTCGTTGTTGTGTTTTGTTCGAACTCCCAATAACATATGGGTTGCTGCACCTACATTCAGCTGTATTACCTTTTGCTCTGAAAATGCGTAATCAAGAGATCTGGCAGGATTTCTCAAACGGAAATGAAGTATGTTTAAATTACGTAAATCACATACCTAAAGGCATTTGTTATGTATTATTTCTGTCTTACTGATAATTGATTTAAATGCATTGAGAGAATGAAAGTTCCTTATAGAAATATCTATGTCATACCACTTTTTTGTTGTTGATGAGAAAAAGAATTTCGCACGCGTAAGAGATAAACTGAAGTTCTAGTGATTGAAAACCACGCGAGAATCAAAAGATTTACGTTAAGATTAAATTTCACCTCTCAAACAATCAACGATTTAATTGAGAAAATAAAGTATCTATTCTCTAGATTTTTTTCTGTAAGTGTACGTTAAATGTCGTACGACAGATAATCTGTTTTACACTGTAAGATGACGACTGCAGTATGTGTTTCACATTTTCTATGAATTATGTATAATCGTTACAAACGCTCATCTTGGAATCAAACAATGATGACTTGTTAGACATATATCATTCAATGAAAAATAAACAAGTTCATTGTAACATTTTACTACGTTGCGATGATAAAATCTTGAACAAAAAGTGAAAAGGTAAGAAGTAAGTGTGCTTTTCTTTATATTCCAATCACCAGGAAATTAAAATCGAATTCATCTAGTCCGTGTTGATTACTTACATAATAAATAGATCTTGATCAAGCGTACATCGGAAATATCCAATTAGCATATTTAGATAGCTCATTTAAATATGTTGTCAAATTTGGACATGGTGACGTGTAAAAGCACCCAATTTTAAAGCAAAGACACGCCCACCATCCTCCTTTGGTGTTGTTCTTATATTGGTGTCATGGAGTCGTTTATGTGGTTTTAGAGTCATTTGCATGCATGGTTCTGGTTCACTTGAAATTCAATGCGACGAATAAAATCAGCCTATTGAAGGGTATTAATGTTTAAAATAACCAACTACGTAGCAATATTTTCGCGAAAAAACTGAAATATGGTGAGATTTTGAAGCTATTAGGCTCTGGTGTTGCGGATCTCTTTCACATACGTTCTATATGTGTTACCTATCTCGTGATACCTAATGATAACATGTAAAAATAATTAAATAAAATCAGTTAAACAGAGGTGAAGATCGAAATTCATTACCACAATTTACAAAATGCCCAACATTAGTTTACGGTCCGGTTTCATTGGTATTCTGAAATGAGTGCATTTGAAATGAATATATTTGAAACACCGCGATTAAGATTTGTCCTGTTGTATATATACAGAATACAAGAGCGTGTTAAACACATCTTCAAGAAGAACCCAAGTGTGATTTTCCTGTCAAGCATGGGTTGTCACACGAACAAATCTCCCTTGTGTGTTCCGCTTTTGCCTTCTCCTAATCGATACTATGCATGCGGCCGTGCCATGTGAGGTACGGTATACTAGTGTTTTTACACTGTTAGAGTTTCTTGTGAATACACATTAACCGTTTCATCATTTCATGGTATTTATGAATGGATGTCCATTATTGTCTGTGCAAAAAGTTAATATATATGAGATGTGTGATTGCAACAGGTTCTGTCTTTAAATCCGTTTATTTAACTTTTACTCAGTTGCTGTAAATTGCATCCAGACGATATTATGTATGATCTAGGGCCCCTTCGTATGAATGTCACGGTAATGTAATTCAGATTGGTCTACATAGACATGTTTGATAAAACCTCGAGAAATTGGCGATCATGAAAGGAACTCGTTTTCAGCTAATACAAATAGGCTTTCTGGACAATGGAAGAAAGTCGGAATTATACAGTTTTGAACAAAATGTTATAATGCATTTTTTTAAAATGATATCTTACGACGATATATATGTATATATATATACTGTAGATATTGATGAATCCGCACTGAAAGGTTCTGTTTACCTTTACGTTTTCTGGTATAAAACGAAAAAGTTCGAGATCACTGTTGTTAATCGAATCGGTCTCCTTGGTAAGAATGGAAGTTTAAAGACACTAAGCATGGACCTTGGTCTAACGACAAAAGAACTCGACTAAAATGGTCAGATTCTCACTCATTGGATAATGTCATAAAGCACGAAGCATATAATGGTCAATATACATAGACCCGAACAGTGAATACTTAGAAAACAACTCAAATAGGGGTACAATAACATAGACCCGAACAGTGAATACAATAACATAGACCCGAACAGTGAATACAATAACATAGACCCGAACAGTGAATACAATAACATAGACCCGAACAGTGAATACAATAACATAGACCCGAACAGTGAATACAATAGCATAGACCCGAACAGTGAATACAATAAGATCGACCCGAACAGTGAATACAATAACATAGACCCGAACAGTGAATACAATAACATAGACCCGAACAGTGAATACAATAACATAGACCCGAACAGTGAATACAAAAACATAGACCCGAACAGTGAATACAATAACATAGACCCGAACAGTGAATACAATAACATAGACCCGAACAGTGAATACAATAACATAGACCCGAACAGTGAATACAATAACATAGACCCGAACAGTGCATACAATAACATAGACCCGAACAGTGAATACAATAACATAGACCCGAACAGTGAATACAATAACATAGACCCGAACAGTGAATACAATAACATAGACCCGAACAGTGAATACAATAAGATCGATAACATAGACCCGAACAGTGAATACAATAACATAGACCCGAACAGTGAATACAATAACATAGACCCGAACAGTGAATACAATAACATAGACCCGAACAGTGAATACAATAACATAGACCCGAACAGTGAATACAATAACATAGACCCGAACAGTGAATACAATAACATAGACCCGAACAGTGAATACAATAACATAGACCCGAACAGTGAATACAATAACATAGACCCGAACAATGAATACGTAGAAAACTAAAAACAGTGTATACAATAACATAGACCCGAACAGTGAATACAATAACATAGACCCGAACAGTGAATACATAGAAAACAACTCAAATAGGGGTACAATAAAAGCCACTGAAACAGTGAATACTTAGAAAAATACTAAAAACATTGAATACAGTGAGAGCATCCCGAACAGTGAAAACAATAAGATCGACCCGAACAGTAAATACAATAAAAGTGACCCGAACAGTGAATACAATAAGCTCACCATACAGGACAACAAAACATTATCTTACTATACGCACAGCTCACCATACAGGACAACAAAACATTACCCTATCATACACTAAGCTTACCATACAGGACAACAAATCAGTATCTTACTATACACACAGCTTACCATACAGGACAACAAATCAGTATCTTACTATACACACAGCTTACCATACAGGACAACAAAACATTATCTTACTATACACACAGCTCACCATACAGGACAACAAAACAGTATCTTACTATACACTAAGCCCACCATACAGGACAACAAAACATTACCCTATCATACACACAGCTCACCATACAGGACAACAAAACATTATCTTACTATACACACAGCTCACCATACAGGACAACAAAACATTATCTTACTATACACACAGCTCACCATACAGGACAACAAAACATTATATTACTATACACACAGCTCACCATACAGGACAACAAAACATTACCCTATCATACACACAGCTCACCATACAGGACAACAAAACAGTATCTTATTATACACACAGCTCACCATACAGGACAACAAAACATTACCCTATCATACACGAATCTCACCATACAGGACAACAAAACATTACCCTATCATACACACAGCTCACCATACAGGACAACAAAACAGTATCTTACTATACACTAAGCTCACCATACAGGACAACAAAACATTATCTTACTATACACACAGCTCACCATACAGGACAACAAAACATTATCTTACTATACACACAGCTCACCATACAGGACAACAAAACATTACCCTATCATACACTAAGCTCACCATACAGGACAACAAAACAGTATCTTATTATACACACAGCTCACCATACAGGACAACAAAACATTACCCTATCATACACGAATCTCACCATACAGGACAACAAAACATTACCCTATCATACACACAGCTCACCATACAGGACAACAAAACAGTATCTTACTATACACTAAGCTCACCATACAGGACAACAAAACATTACCTATCATACACTAAACTCACCATACAGGACAACAAAACATTACCTATCATACACACAGCTCACCATACAGGACAACAAAACAGTATCTTATTATACACTAAGCGCACCATACAGGACAACAAAACATTATCTTACGATACACTAAGCTCACCATACAGGACAACAAAACATTACCCTATCATACACTAAGCTCACCATACAGGACAACAAAACATTACCTATCATACACTAAACTCACCATACAGGACAACAAAACATTACCCTATCATACACACAGCTCACCATTCAGGACAACAAAACAGTATCTTATTATACACTAAGCTCACCATACAGGACAACAAAACATTACCCTATCATACACACAGCTCACCATACAGGACAACAAAACATTATCTTATTATACACACAGCTCACCATACAGGACAACAAAACATTACCCTATCATACACTAAGCTCACCATACAGGACAACAAAACATTATCTTACTATACACTAAGCTCACCATACAGGACAACAAAACATTACCCTATCATACACACAGCTCACCATACAGGACAACAAAACATTACCCTATCATACACACAGCTCACCATACAGGACAACAAAACAGTATCTTACTATACACTAAGCTTACCATACAGGACAACAAAACATTACCTATCATACACTAAGCTCACCATACAGGACAACAAAACAGTATCTTACTATACACACAGCTTACCATACAGGACAACAAAACATTATCTTACTATACACACAGCTCACCATACAGGACAACAAAATGTTACCCTATCATACACTAAACTCACCATACAGGACAACAAAACAGTATCTTACTATACACACAGCTCACCATACAGGACAACAAAACATTACCCTATCATACACTAAGCTCACCATACAGGACAACAAAACAGTATCTTATTATACATACAGCTCACCATACAGGACAACAAAACATTACCCATACACACAGCTCACCATACACACAGCTCACCATACAGGACAACAAAACATTAACCTATCATACACACAGCTCACCATACAGGACAACAAAACAGTATCTTATTATACACACAGCTCACCATACAGGACAACAAAACATTACCCTATCATACACTAAACTCACCATACAGGACAACAAAACAGTATCTTACTATACACACAGCTCACCATACAGGACAACAAAACATTATCTTATTATACACTAAGCTCACCATACAGGACAACAAAATATTACCCTATCATACACACAGCTCACCATACAGGACAACAAAACATTACCCTATCATACACACAGCTCACCATACAGGACAACAAAACATTATCTTACTATACACACAGCTCACCATACAGGACAACAAAACATTACCCTATCATACACACAGCTCACCATACAGGACAACAAAACAGTATCTTACTATACACTAAGCTTACCATACAGGACAACAAAACATTATCTTACTATACACTAAGCTCACCATACAGGACAACAAAACATTACCTATCATACACGAAGCTCACCATACAGGACAACAAAACAGTATCTTACTATACACACAGCTTACCATACAGGACAACAAAACATTATCTTACTATACACACAGCTCACCATACAGGACAACAAAACATTACCCTATCATACACTAAGCTCACCATACAGGACAACAAAACAGTATCTTACTATACACACAGCTCACCATACAGGACAACAAAACATTACCCTATCATACACTAAGCTCACCATACAGGACAACAAAACAGTATCTTATTATACACTAAGCTCACCATACAGGACAACAAAACATTACCCTATCATACACACAGCTCACCATACAGGACAACAAAACATTAACCTATCATACACACAGCTCACCATACAGGACAACAAAACAGTATCTTATTATACACACAGCTCACCATACAGGACAACAAAACATTACCCTATCCTACACTAAACTCACCATACAGGACAACAAAACCGTATCTTACTATACACACAGCTCACCATACAGGACAACAAAACATTATCTTATTATACACTAAGCTCACCATACAGGACAACAAAATATTACCCTATCATACACACAGCTCACCATACAGGACAACAAAACATTACCCTATCATACACACAGCTCACCATACAGGACAACAAAACATTATCTTACTATACACACAGCTCACCATACAGGACAACAAAACATTACCCTATCATACACACAGCTCACCATACAGGACAACAAAACAGTATCTTATTATACACACAGCTCACCATACAGGACAACAAAACATTACCCTATCATACACTAAGCTTACCATACAGGACAACAAAACATTATCTTACTATACACACAGCTCACCATACAGGACAACAAAACATTACCCTATCATACACTAAGCTCACCATACAGGACAACAAAACATTATCTTCATACACACAGCTCACCATACAGGACAACAAAACATTACCCTATCATACACACAGCTCACCATACAGGACAACAAAACATTACCCTGTCATACACACAGCTCACCATACAGGACAACAAAACATTACCCTATCATACACACAGCTCACCATACAGGACAACAAAACATTATCTTATCATACACACAGCTCACCATACAGGACAACAAAACATTACCCTATCATACACACAGCTCACCATACAGGACAACAAAACAGTATCTTATTATACACACAGCTCACCATACAGGACAACAAAACATTACCCTATCATACACTAAGCTTACCATACAGGACAACAAAACAGTATCTTGCTATACACACAGCTCACCATACAGGACAACAAAACATTACCCTATCATACACACAGCTCACCATACAGGACAACAAAACATTACCCTGTCATACACACAGCTCACCATACAGGACAACAAAACATTATCTTATTATACACTAAGCTCACCATACAGGACAAAACATATATATACTGAACTCGTTCTTATGTCATATCCAACAGAACTAAAGATCTATTCATAGGTCTAGACAATCTGTCAATCTTTTTTTGAATTCTTAAATATACCGTTGCTATCTAAAGAGTCTTGTGTTTTGTATTGATAGCACAATGAAATGTAACAATTACAAATCAATTCACTTTACCAGATATTGAATGCCAGCCAACTCTACAACAATACAACTGGTCGACTATAACCACTGATATGCCATCATAAACTTCCTGGTTCTCACTGCTACAAGCCTTCTATAAGCTTAAGTTCGGCCATGATTCTGTATGCTGGGATAATCAACGTTTTCCTTGTGGAAATGGGTACGTTTTTGAATTTTCATAATTCTATTTTTTCTTACTACATATGTATTTTGTAATTAATATCATTTTCTTCGATTGAGCACAAAATGTATTATATCTATATTCTCTCTATAACATTAAATAACTGATCTATTAGATCCACCATCGATTTGAGGAACAAAAATATCAGGAACAATCAGTGATTTACCGCTTGTTTAACTGTGTTTCTATTGTGCGTTGACACTAAGTTATCATTCGATTAAACATTTGTAAACGCTATATCAGATGTATGCAGACGAAATTGGTGAAGACACTCGTACTATTTGTGATCAGTAGGCGTTAGACGTACATACATAAACTTGCTCTTATAATCGGCTCGGTGCTTTCATAACAGGTCTCGCCTATTAAATACAGAATGTTTGTATAGATTATAGTAAATCAACAACTGTACTTCGTCTGAAGTTTATTGTAAATGAATGTTGTCTGGTATTACCCGCATGAGGTTATTTTCTGTATTCATGATTATTGAAAAGCATTCTATTTTGCTGTTAAAGTGTATAGTACATGGCTCTATATACCGGCCCTTACATATCAAAACATTCGAATATACATTATGGACATCAGGGCGAAATTGGTAGGAAGCGTCATACTTTTGAAAAACAACAAAGTCAACCTAATCATAATCCAGACTCAAATTCAATAAAACTAGGGCAAAATATGAACAACAGAATGATATACACGGAGGCTCCTGAAAAAAGTACAAGGACAAGGTGTTTCGGAAGTGTAGGCGTCTTCTGCTTCATGTAAATCTCATATAGCACAAAGAAATAGAATATTTCTCAATGAGGTTACTACAACGATCGCAAAACTTCTCCATAATTTCAATTATCCTACATCTTTTAAGCCCCTGTGTTACGAGTTTATCAGTCAGTCGACGACTTAATCGTGATGATGGGAACATGACTTTGTATATCGAATCACCTGTGACTTGCAAATATCATAGTTGAAGATGCAGGTATTAAGAAATGAAAAATTCACAATACGGAAATCATCACGTTTGTCCTACAGTTTGTTAGAAAGCTGTCAATGATGGTTTCGTTGTAGAAATCTAAGATTGAAATAAGAGGCTGGTGTTTGATACCTCGTAAAAATAACATAGAAAACTGAATACAGCATCACAGTCATCCTATGGAAGCCACGTTAACTTCCTTCTAGTTTCAAACATTCGCGATATATATGGTGCTATTGTAATAACTATAATAGGTGAGGAAGTAAGGACTGCTCGGCCTTTTCATCACCGTTTGACTTATGCACAGACCATTTTATAACAGACTCGGTTCGTAGAGAGTATATCTGTCGTACTCAATCAAAGCTTGCTTTCTGGAGTGTTTATATTGTGGCAGTGTCAATTTTACTTTTATCTATTTATATATATTTTTATAAATGTACTTGTCCAACCGGTTTGTTTTGTCAGTGTATGTTCTAAGAATTTCTCACCTGTGTTTTGTTATGTAAATGTCTTGTCACGTGATTACATGCTTGTTCGTGCACCTGTATGTTCTGTATCGTTATTCACGCGCTGGACAGAGACATGGACAGTCGCAATGATATGTAGATACGTACGGACGACTGTGGTGGCAAAAATACATTTTAAAATAGTAAGTATTTGAAATATCATTTAATTATTTTAAACGATAATGTTAGTTAACTTTTACAGAATTAGTATTTTCGTATTTATTGAAATATTTGAAGAAATTGAAATATCTCTTTGTGGTTTTTTCATTATTCCTTTTGTAATGGGAACAGTAATTTTTGCAGAATTATCTTAAAGAAATTTATTACAAATATAGTTAATTACGTTTTGTTGTTTTTTTTTCAACAGAACCATAGATCATTTTATTGTAAAAAAGGATGTTATCTCTTGAGACCCCTGTCAGATTGATAGGGTAGGTATATTATGTATATATATTATTTAACTATTAACTACATCTGTGTAATACAAATGGTAAATCCTATAGTTTATCATGTGTTGGCATTGGATATATATATTTTGATGAATTCGTAAAGTTTAGTGTAACCGTTACGGGAAATATAAATATGTGTAAAAAGTAAAGTTGACTCCATGTCCAGTGTATAACATACAGTGCGTAGTTTGTAATATGTCTTATACACGAACTTATGTTTTATTTGTGTTATTGTAGGGTCTTTTGGTGCGTCTAAATAAACGTATGAAAGGAATGAATCCAGCGTTATTTTATAAAACACTGTAGCATTGGAACCCGGCTACATTTTGGCGCCCATGTAGGGACACACACTCACACACGATACGGGAGCTCCCGGCAAATTTGAAATCACGGAGCCTCGTTTTGAAGTTCTGGACCATCGCTGTGTGTCCTTGACCTTCCAGGTCAGGTATTAGCACTTCCGGAAGAAATCCACGTTTTTGAATTCTGTGTTGTCTGACTGATCAGCATGGATTATTCGATTTATACCGGAGTGGATGTATTATTTGGTAAATAAAACCGTTCCTTGTATTAACATTTTATGTTTCCAAGCAGATAGTATGCATACTGGAAGCTGTCGATTTATATAAAACTGTTATTTTTATCATAACATTTGTTGTGTACTTCACTATTTTTACATTGTGTTACGCGTGTGCTTTACTACCGAGACGACTCGATAGGCCTACAGGTGAATTCGTCGACGACCGTGTCATGCCTGAGTGAACAACACCTGTTTTGAACTGCAGTGGTCTCGAGTGTTTTATTAATTTCAAGGACATTTACTCGTGAACTCTTGACTTTAATATTACAACTCACAGTTGATACCCATTTTGTGTGTTTATTTCTTTCATGTTCTTTTGGATCGCATTCATTTGTGTGTTTGTTAGAATTTAGATGTTGTCTTGATTGTTTTGAATCTCGTGTACAGAGGTGTAGTAAGGTTATACTAATATAGGTATAAGCTTAGGAAGTAGAAATATTTCCTCTTTGCTGATACTTACATTGTTTCCATTGCTTTTCATTCTTTTTCTCGCTTATTAATTTTCATTTATTTATTTTTTATTTATTCAAACCCCGTAAATTATTATTACTTATTTTCTACCCAACTATAATTTTGTGTTCCGACTTGGAATATTTACTCCAGATTCAAATTACCTTATATCCGATAGGATTTCCAGTTTTGATGAAACTTTTCATTTTTTTTCTTTTGTCATTTGAAGTAGATCTCGTATAGATATTGCCTACCCGGTCACTATTTTGACTAGGAAACAGTTGACTTGACCTCGCAATTGACATTCCTGATTTCTGTGACTGATGTTTTATGTTGCACTTTATGTCTTATATATATATGTACATGTGTGCGTGTTTCTTGTGTTGATTTTTTGTTGAACTTGTACTCAATATTCCTTGCTGTTGGAACTAAGCTAATATTTTACAGCATTTTTCTCATTCAGAAGGATTACTTGGAAAATATATCAGGTAAAACCCAGCGATCAGTGTAAACTAAGTATTTTGATATGAATATTGTTTATTTACAGCTGACGTAATACAAATGTGTTAGAGAGCTGGTCCTGATGTGTTTTTTTTAGTAGATATTTCGTTTCAGGTGTATTGCTTTAAAATTTTTTTGCCTTTTGTCCAATTATTTATTCATCATGTCCGACAAATCATTTTCAGGGAAGGACATTGAGGTTATTACAGCTACTCTTTTAGCCATGGGTTACAAACCCCAAGAAGGCAAACTTAAGTCTGAGGAGCTGCGATCATGGATCAAGTCCAAGGGGAGTACCAGTACTAAGGATCCTAAACAGGAAGATGGGGCAAGTGCCATGCCCAATCCTGTGTCAGTTACAGTCAGCCCACCTGTGAGGATTTCCACCTTTTCTGGAGAAGAAAAGGACACATCCTATGATTTATGGAAGCACGAGGTGGAGTCCTTGCTGTTGTCTCATGGAGAAGATGTGGTGGCCCATGTACTTCGAAGATCATTGAAGGGAAAAGCTGGAACGGTCGTCATGCATCTTGGATTGGATGTGTCAGTTAGAAATATCCTAATCAAGATGGATAGTATCTTCGGCACTGTGGAAAAGGGTGAAGCACTTCTGGCACAGTTTTACAGCGCACGTCAGAAGGAGGGGGAGGATACAGCCTCTTGGAGTTGTAGATTAGAGGATATACTGAATAAAGCTGTGAAGAGAAGAGAGGTGACTTATGCCCACTCAGGAGATATGCTGAGAACGATGTTTTGGACAGGCCTTAGAAGAGATTTAAAGGATATTACAGGCCATAAGTATGACACCATCCAAGACTTTGATCGTCTTGTGATTGCAATCCGCCAGGTGGAGCAAGATCTCAGGAATAGAGAGGAGGAGACCCAGACAAAGAAGCCCCACCCTGAAGAGTCAAAGATGAAAACGAAGCCCAATCCTGCTTGCATGGCTAGTTCTGAAGCAACAGATGACATAAAGGAAATGAAGGGGATGATCAAGCAGTTGACTAGACATGGCTAAAATGAAAAAGGTTACAAAGCAGTATCAGAAGTTCAACAGGAAGTCTGGAGCGGGCAAGTCTTGGACCAATCAACAGGGAGAGCAATCTCAGCAGGGACAGCGTCATTTTAACCCTCAGGAGTCAAAGACATCTCAACCCCATGATGATGGCCCGTTGTGCTGGCGATGCGGACAGAGAGGTCACATTAAGCTTGGGTGTCGCATCCGGTTAGACCATTTAAACGGGGAGAGGCCTATGAAAAAGGGCAGCTCATAGGCTGTGAGAGAAGAGCTTTTAACTATCATGTACAGGATAGGAAGATCCAGGTACCCGGAGAGCTTGTGGGTACTCCCAATGAAGTATCAGTGTTCCTTGCTAAGAGTAATGTTCAAGCTTTGCTCGACACAGGTTCCACTGTTTCAACAATTTCTGAGCATTATTACAGAAACTTCCTGTCAGATGTTTGTCAGCTCATGCCCATTACAGATTTTCTGAATGTGGAGTGTGCAGATGGTAATCTCCTGCAAT